ATCCCTGGTTGAGAACAACTGCCTGCCCTACAACGTCTGCACTTTGTTAAAATATTTTAAATTAAAATAGCCATTTATGAATCCACTGGGCCAGTATCTACTCTAATGACTCTTGATATATAACTCCAATCTACAGTGTCTTCCAAAAAGATGGTACAGATTCACAAACCACTAGCTACATGTGACTTTCAGCTCTCTGTACTCTTGCTGATATGAGCTCATTTACTATGCAAAAAGTCTTGTTAGTCTCTCCACTCACTACTGAAGCTATCAGTACACATATTTATTAATTGCATTTTATTTCTCAAAACAGTGAAATTACCAAAATTTTCTTCAGACTCTGTTAAAAAATTATCCAGTTTATAACAAGAGGGGAAAAAAAAAACAAAAACCTAAAACAAAAACTACGCTCAGTGATTTCTATTCAGACGCTGGTTTCTAACAGCTGGCTTACTTTTCTAAAATTTACACCGAATAATAATGAATGACAGGAGAGGTGACTGCAAGGATACGCTGTAAGGCAAAGTGATACGTATGCTGAACAGTCTGCCTTCTTCTAAATGATCGAAAAGTAAAGAACGAGAATATGGCCCAAATATGAATATGAACAAATTTACACTACAAGCAAGTCCTGTTGCATTACACAATTTCAAAAGTTTAAGGGAAGGATTGCAAGTAACTGATAATAATCTTCAATGCTTACATTTTTCTTTTTTTACCCAAATTTGGTCGGATTTTAGCAACTTTGGGGTATAAACCAGCACAGATAACAGCTTTAATTATCTTCTCATTATCTATTGGGGGTGGGAAGATAGAGGGGGGGAAAACAAGTAAAATACTGGTATAATGGAGAACAGCAGCAAGTTATTTGCACTGTGTTTTCTGCTTTACCTGAATTTACGTTAGACTCTGGGTCCTGAGGATCCCTACTGCTTACAAATCCCGCTCCAAGGAGGTGCTCGGCAAACTGCCCCTTCATGTTGTGCAGCATCTAGGGTGCGACGGTGACAAACAGAACAGAGCATCTGACGCCGCCGCAAGGCACAGGCTCAGAAACGGAGCTGTAAGCTTCCCTGCTTTACGAATACACTCTGGCAAAAATGCGACGTTTTAGAGCAGGAGCCAGCAAGCTACAGCCTGTCTGGCTTCTGCCTGTTCGAGTAAACAGTTTTGCTGGCACGCAGCCACACCCGTTGGTCGACGGATCTTCTGCAGCTGCTTCTGCTCAACAGTGGCAGAGACAAGTGGCTGCACCAGGGACCACATGGCCTGCAAGGCCTAAGATGTTAACTATCTGGCCTTCCACAAGAACAAATCTGCCTGATTTAGGGATAACCAATAATATTTAACGGACTGCTACATTCCGCAAAAGACACACTAAATAATTTTTTAAATCACCCTACCTCTCATCCATATTTTGAAGAATACCTATATTTATACACTACTGAGAACTGACTACTCCTAACATATTGGCACATAAGCTTAAAGCTTGTTTTATTTAAAATTGTTTTTAAAAGAGAAAATCACTGTTTGGATAAAAATGACACATGAGTCATTAAAAAGCATTCAAGGAATGTGGAAAAGTACAAGGATGAAAATAAAGAAAATCCCCTCAGTAATCTCAGAAATAATCATTTAAGTAAACAAGATTCCAGATTATGTATTGTACATACATACTGACAGAAGACTTAGAAATACCATCATAACAGTAAGATTATAGCATAGAAGCTGTTTTTATAAAAGTATTAAAATTTAGTTTGAAGAAAATTAAACAGAAATGAAAAGACCAGATGAATTTTACATTTTCATAAGATGTATTTCCAAAAGGATTCTTCTGAGCTTAAGAAAAGATTATATAATATTATAAAAGGTGGAGTCATTTTAAGTATATATCCCTTTTATGAAATGTGTGACATTATATTTAGCCCATCTTCTCATTTTTGTTACAACTGACTCTTAAGCCACTCCTCGTTTTTATTATCATTATATTTTTAAGGATCACCTTTTACATTCCAGTCTGTAACCGTAATTTCCAACAACATTGTTCTGTATGAGTTATGAAGCAGAAAACCAAACCCGTTACTGTCGAGTCAATTCTGACTCCTAGCGACCCTTCAGGACAGAGTAGAACGGCCCCATAGGGTTTCCAAGGAGTGGCTGGTGGATTCCAACAGCTGACCTTCTGGTTAGCAGCCGAGCTCTGAACCACTGCACTGTATTAGTTATATGTCTAAATAATTTCAATGCACATCAGTAGTTGATTTAGATCCATTTCCGAATTCTCCACTTTGATTCATCCCTTAGTAGACAGCATGTCGCTGCCAATGAACTTCTCGTGAATAGCTCCCAGGAGCAGTATTTCTCAAGTGCTTTCCTGAATGCCTGTCTCGTCTTTATACGTGGAATTAATATCTTGGCTGGGTGTAATATTCTCAAATAACACCTGGATTTGGCAATCTTTTCATATCTCTGGTTCATTTTCTATTTCAGGGAAATAGTCTTCTATCTCTGAAGACACATTCAATTAAACTTTAATTTCTATGTAGACAGACACCTGTCATCCTCAAAATGGATCATCCCCAACCTCCTTTCTATGAGCTTTGGACTCACTGCTTCCATCTCCGTCTTCTTCAGCCACAGTCATGAACTGTGATCACCTCCAGCCTTTCTCCTGTGGCAGTAATCTGACTTGGAGGGCTGTCCATTTTGTTCCTTGTGTTTTTCCCTTTTGGTACAATCTGTTTTCTGAACTCAGCAGTCTTCCTTCCATCCGCTCTACTGGTTTACTTGAACTGTTTTACTGAATTAATATTCTTCTTAGGTTGTTCCATATTACTGAAGCAGTTGTATTTTCTTTTGTTGAACTATGCTGTGTTCATTTTTTTTTTTTTGTTTTTTAAAACTCCCTTTGACCTTGTGGAGCCCTGGTGACACAGTGGTTAAGAGCTACAGCTGCTAACCAAAAGGTCAGCAGTTGGAATCCACCAGCTGCTCCTTGGAAACCCTATGGGGCAGTTCTACTCTGACCTACAGGGTCGCTATGAGTCAGAACTGACTTGACGCCAGTGGGTCTGGTTTTTTGGTTTTGACTTTATAATTTTACAGGGTTGCCAGCTCTTTTTCTTTTGCTCACGATTGGACAGGCCGGATTAGACATGCTAGACCGATTCTTTTCCCTCTTCACAGACTTGCTAAATGCCTGGTGCCAGGGTTCACACCACATAGGTGGGGTATCTGTGTATTAGGGGAGTGTGAGGATACTCCTAATCTCACTAGCTTCAGATCACGTTCCCAAATTCAGCCCACAGTCTGACGGCTGACGTGCATCTGCCTGGTTTGTTACCCACTGTCTTCTGTTTCCTGTACACCTCTCCAACAGCACTGTCACTACGCTAGATCACAGAAGGTTAGAGACACACACCCTGCTTGGTATTTTTAAACAGAATAGAAGAATTAGTGAACATTCTCAAGATGAATTATCAAAAAGACCACTAAAGGGTGAAGGCAGGAATAGTAACTGAGTTTTACTGCCCTTTCCTGCATGCTCTGGAATCTTGCTTCTTTTTTAGTCGTTGGTTTTTTTGCGTTATGTATGAGGTTATATATCTTTCCTCGATTCTCTGTATTATTTTGTATAATGATTCGACTTTATAAAAGAAGTTTAAACAATTAACTTTTTGGTGCAGACCTACTGCACAAAATAGATACATCTAATCTAGCATATATAAGAATAACTGTAAAACATTCACCATTACCTGCAGGGTGTTTGAAGACAGAAAATATTCCCAGCAATAGTCCTTTTCATATCTGAAACCACGTTGCCTAGCTTCTTCCCAGCCCTATCAAGCAAAGAAATGAAACCTATTTATATCATTCCCCAAAGCAAAGATTGCCTACCAGTTTGTTTTTATTTCGGTAATAATTTAACCATTCCTGATACTTCATTTTATTTGTAAAAAATTCAAAACAACTTTGAAATTCACAAATTAAAGCAACATGAACTCCCTATAATTCTAGTCTTTAAGAGATAACTAGCACCAAACTTTCAGATGATTTTTATACAAGTATGAGTTATAAAGTTACAGGTCAACTGTATAATTTACACAAAATGACCTGATACTGTACGTGATATATTAATGGAAAAAAAAAAGCATGTTACAGAACAATTTCAATGCTATTATAGATTTTCTGTTTCATACATGTGTTTTGTTAGCTAGGGGCAAAAGGCAGGAAAAATATGCTTACTGAGCTCAGAGGAAAAAGATACATAAACTTTCCCTTAGAGTACAAAATGAATTTAGACAGAGAGTAAGAAGATACTGCTTCTATAAACCAAATTCTATTTAAATATAGCAAAGACTGGTGGGAAGTGTTTACCCACAGATAAGCCTGGCTTTGGGGATGGCTTCCAAAATCTCCCTAATCTCAACAGCATACATGATTATGATGCTCTTTTATCAAAATGCTGAATCTGATTCCAAGTGTAGTTTCTTCATGAACAGAAAGTGCCTATCTGTCACCAATGCCAACAAGATTAAGTGAACACTATCAAATACCAAATTTTAGAATACACTGTTGAATACCTGCTTGTTCCGCACCTACCAAAACAACACAAATAGATTTCTTTTCAGTTAAGGGAGCTGAAATAAGCTACTGCAAAATTGAAAAGTTATCTTCACACTGTAGATATTACCCTAAATGTTCCCAAAGTTTTTCAGAAAGGTTCCCAACGTTCTTTTCAAATAGTCACCTGACTTTAAAAGATTCTTACTTAGCAATGTATTCCTGGTATCTACAATACAGGTTTTAAAAGGTTAAATATATGCCTTGTTGACATGAATAAACTGCCACAATCCAGAATAAGTTTTTTGGTTTTTACCTTAAATGCATTCACGACTGTCAGGTGGTCACTTCTAGAATCCTTTGCCAATTCTTTTCTTCTTGCATCTGCGATCTTTTCCTTTCCCTTGAAATAACAGGCAAAGGCAATTTACATTGCTCTGATGCTATGTAACAGAGAATGGCATTCTAATGAAAACATTTCTAAGTAACAACTACTCTCTGTGAAAGCGCACGGGCTTTTACGAGAATCTCTCTTACCAACGGAATGACAAAGGGATCTTTGAAGCTGAGACTAGCAGCAATAGTGAGTACTGGGTCTAAGCAACAGAACAGAGCTCCAAAGAGAATCATTTTGCCAATATGTGGCTCAACCGGTAATCGTGCTAAGTGGACTCCAAGAGGTGTCAACTCTTCTTGTTTATCCAAAGCATTCTGTAAAGTAAGGGTTTACATTTAAAACAGATATTGTACAACATTACATTTACAACTATTTTTTGTTTTCAAAAAACAAAAAACAAACCCACAGGCCATCCTTCACTCTCTTAAGCCCAAATGCCTTAACATTTGTCCAGCTTTAGTTTTCTTCATCAAAACAAGTGGAGTAATCAAGGATTAGAAACTTAACTAAACAAAAACAAAATTAATCCACAACTTGGCTTCAGTTAAGAGAGATACTGGAGAAATAATGAACCAGCAAGCTTTCAATTAAGTAGAGAAAATCACCCAATAAGTACAAGTTATGGGGAAACAAACACACACACACACACAAAAGATACTGTTACTATTTGGAATATACAATGCATAAACGCTCCTAGATTCTAGCAGTTTAGGGAGCATGAGACAGGGAGGCAATGTATCTAGGACTCCTAAAAATGGGGGTGACCTGTGCTCTGATTAACTACATGATTTGGTCCAACCATCCCACTGAGGACAAGGAGAAGCTAGAAAAGCTGCTTGAAGATACCAAGGAGTCAATAAGAGAAAAGAAGAATTATAGGGTTGGGGTCTAGGGAAGGAGAAAGGCCAAGAAAGGGGGGTGAGCCCAGAGCTGGGGCCTCATTTGGAGGTGTCCGCTGCTTACCGAGGAGCTCCTGAGACACCTTTTCAGTAGTCTCACGGGGCAAAGGAGGTAAAAGGCCAGGGACTGTCAATGGGAGCAGAGGGAGAAAGGGTGCCTGGTGAAGCCCCCCTCACTTTTGGTCGAGAGTCCAAAGCTTGTACCCTAGAAACAACAATGAGCCAGAAGTAGGCAAGCTCTCAGGGACTGCAGTTTTGGTTCAAATTATCTGACTCTCTGAAATTTGACCGAGGTGATCTAGATTGCTAGCACCCCTGGCATCAGCAGAAGCAGCCTAAATCCTCTCTGGAGGAGTCGTCATTATCCCGAGCTTCAAATTTTTATCTACAAATAATTTTGTAAACACAATGTCCGGCATGCAATTAAAATAACTAGGCACACAAGAAGATACAAACGAGGATGAGAAATAGACACAGACATGTAACCCCTTCAGACACAGACTTCTACTAAGCATTTATAAAGGGAACAGCCTCAATCTTACAAACATTCTTTCAGAAGGGAAAAAGATAAAAAATAAAGAAATAATATCTCAACTTGTGTATGGAGCCCAGTATAATCTTGACACAAAAACTTGATAAGGATATTCGAAGGAAAAAAAACCCGCTGAACAATCTCACATATTACCCAAAACAAAACAATGGCAAACTGAATCCCAGAAAGTAAGGTTTATTTCAGGAGCAAAAACATTTGAAAAATCAATGTAATCCACCATATTAACACACTGTACTAGGAGAACAGAGAAAATGAGAAAAATCCTCTCATAATCTCATACGGTTAGGTAAAAGCAATTATTCATGCATGATAAAAGTCTCTTAATAAACTAGGGATAGAAAAGAAACTTCCTTAATTGGATAAAGGGTATGTCATCCATTGAATCGTGTCTCCTTAAAATATACTGGAATCCTATGGAATCCTAACCCCTACAGTCGGAGATATAATCTTGTTTAGAAATAATTTTGTTATGTTCATTAGACCACAAAAAAGTAGAAAACCTGTTGCCATCCAGTCCATTCCAACTCACAGTGAGACTACAGGACAGAGTAGAATAGCCTCATAGGGTTTCCAAGGAGCGGCTGTGGATTCGAACTGCCGACCTTCTGGTTAGCAGCCGAGCTCTTAACCACTGCACCACCAGGTAGGGTGGGTTCTAAACCTAATCACTTCTGAGATATAAGAAGGGCAGAATGAATACACAACAAGCACACGCAGGGGAAGACAGATGCCATGTGAAGATCCTCCATAAGCCAAGGAAAACCAAGGAACCCATGAGTGCCTGCAGCTACCAAGAAGGAAGGAATTGACACAGCTGAGACGCTGATTCGGACTTTCAGTCTTCAGAATTGTGAGAAAATAAATTTCTGTTCTTTAAAGCCATTAAAGTTACTTGGATCTGACAGACACTCCAAACAATTACACCTACTTCTCACTTATTGACTATTTCATTATCTGACATTTCGCATTCGTGACAATAGTTAAAATCTACTATCCAACTATTTTGCACATTAACGACATGTCTGGCAGTAACAAACACCGAGGTGCAAGGCGAGTAATGATGGCTGTGATGGTTAAGGTTATGTGTTAACTTGGCTGGGCCATGATACTCAGTGGTTTGGCAATCATGTAATGATGTAATTTGGCAGTTATGTAATGATGTAGTCATCCTGTGTTTTTGTGATCTGATGTGGTCATCCACCATTTTTGCTTAACACTGATTTTCACATAACGACCTGGTCTTTGTGATCTAACCATGTTGATAAGCGAGGAGTAGGTGTACAACGATCTGAAAAGGCAGACTAGACCAACCAAGTTCACTTCATGAATATAAATGAGGACCAGTAATTAACAAATTTCAAAATGTTTGTGTGATTTTGAATCAGGGTGGCAATTAAAAGAACTGTATTAAAAGAATGGGAGCAGTTGGGTTCAGTAACAGAATTCTTGCCTTCTACGTGGGAGATCCAGGTTTAATTCCTAGGCAGTGTACCTCAAGCGCAGCCACTACCCATCTGTCAGTGGAAGCTCATGTGTTGCTACAATGCCGAACAGTTTTCAGCGAAGCTTCCAGATTGAGATCAACTAGGAAGAAAGGCCTGGTGATTTACGTTAAAAAAATCAGCCAATGAAAACCCTATGGATCACCGCGGTCCGAGACCATTGTGCATGGGGCCACCATGAGTTGTGCATCGGCCCTACAGCAGCTAAACAACATTAAAAGGAACATCACAAAGGTATCATTTTATAACTTTCTCATGCATATTTCATATAATGAGTTGAACAGAACTCTGTACATGCAATGATCTACCTCACAGTAATGAGTGTGAATTTTATGCTTATATGCTGTATACTCTAAATCTAAGTTAGAATCAAAAAACAAACTGAAATTTACCAGTTCCATCAGGTGTTTTATGGAGAGCCACACTGCCTCACTTGATGGTGGATCCATTAATCTCCCCAGAAAATAAGCAATTCCACCTAGCTTTAAAATCTAGGGGTAGACAAATATAATTAAATATACATCATATATTTACATAACAACTTAATCCTGCCTGTATTGATCACTCAAAGTGTCAAACCTATACATAATTTACAAGCTAGTTATCATAGGAGAATGAATTAAAATCATTTGTGATTCCATAAAAGCATATTTACTGGCCAATATGTCACCTTCTATCACCAACTTTGTTAACGAGAAAAGCAGCTGGTTAAATTTCAAAACAAGTTGATTACAAGTATTTTCAAAACAAGAAGGCTACTCTAAATATAAATATAAAATATGAAAAATGCTGGAAAAAAACATTAAGTAGTTAATAACCAGGGGTGACATCTGAACATAGAATAACTACAGCTAACATTTACTGAGCACTTACCATGTATGTGCCAGGCACTGCTCTAAAAGTTAGATGAGGTTAATTTGAGTAAGTGCACAATGTAACAGAACTAGCTTGTCCAGGGAGGAGCTGAGATTCAAACCCAGGAGGGAAGGCTCCTGCATACTACATGATTAAAAGCTGTTTCATAAAGATTTAACTTTTCCTTATAGTGAAATAAATTTACATGCATTTTATTAGCACACAGACAAAACAATACATAGTAATAATTCTTTCTTTCACATTAACACACCACTTTCTTCCATAAAAAGATGCTCCCTCCTTTTAGTTTCTTAATTCTCCCACCTAATTTACCTTTATTTGTAAACATAATTCTTCCAAAGGAGTTCTCAAAATTTCTGGCAGTTGATAGTCATCTAGTAGGCTTGCTCTGAGACCATTGTAGAGATGATAGCAATGACCAGGTTGAACTCTTTATAAAAAAAGGGGGACGGGGGGAGTAGAATCAATGACTCTTTAGAACTACAGAGACAACAGCAGGCAGAGAAATGAACTTATTTCCTATCAGACACATCATAACTAATTTATGCAATTATTATTTCCTTTTTATTAATCATACATTCCTTCTCCCCACCTGCTTCGAATGATCCTAAATCCTCTAACGTGTTCCAGTTTTAAGAAGAGACCTCACCTTCTGTCCCCCAATATTCTGTTTCCCTATTTGTATCCTACAGATTTCAGACTGCCATGCTTAATAACAGCAGACCAAGCAGTCTACTTAAGGCGTCCTGCTGGCGCAGCGGTTAAGTGCTCAGTTACTAACCAAAAGGTATGCAGTTAGCACCCACTAGCACTTCCGCGGGAGAAAGACCTAGCCATCTGCTCCTGTGAAGAGGACAGCCTAGGAAACCCTACGCAGCAGTTCCACTCTGTCCTACAGGGTCGGTATGAGTCAGAATCGACACGACCGCACACAACAAGCAGTCCACTCAGGTTAAGGCTGGAAGTTGTTCCCTCAAATATGCCTTTTGGGCACTTCACGTTAAAAATCCTGGCACTGAACTGCCTGGCTGTAGTATTTAAAAAGCTCTTAAGTTATGCACTGTTTAGTGCACTCTCAGAGGGATGTTCAAATTTGTTTGTTTTCAACAAACCACTGCCAGGAACGATACCATTCTCTGGACAATGGTAAGGACAGAGGTGAAGAGGTGAGGGTATTCATGCACTTTCAAGTACAATAAACATCTCTACGGGCTACTGCTGCTACGGCAGGGCGGAGGCCCTTTGCTTAGAGGAATAAAAATGAACTCTCAAACTCTCAGCTATCTCTATGATGAATCCACACGGACTCATCATCTATTACATAACACGGCCTGAATATCCGTTAAGAGAAACTAACAGTAACACCACCACTATCTGCAGACCACATAGTATGTCAGAGTTTGTTTCGGCCTCCAAAATAACCAACAATCTAATTAGCTTTTACTAAGCAATTTACATACATTGAGCCTATAAGGGACTATTTTTCTTTTGAATTAAAATACCACCAATTCCACTGTTACCCTTCATCATGGTAGAAGGAATGAAGAACTAGCTAAAACGTAATACTCCATTCACTTTATCTCCCTAGTTGTCGCATGGATCAAACCTATGACCCAATGTGTTTGCTACTCATATATAAAGGTATGTTGACCAATACCCATTTTAAACCTCAGTATCTGCGATGACGGATCTGCATGGCTAAACCCAGCCTTGCCAGGCTCCATACCAAGTTATTCCTGATAACTGGTCAGAAGAGTACACTCCTTTGCATAAGCCATGGCTTTGGCTTCACAGCACCAATTGCCCCCAAAAATAAGCTGCCTGGAAGTAAGTTAGACTGGGATGATCTTCAAAGACGAGAGCAAGTGACTCAGAGCTTCTCAGGAACAGTGTACTTTAAAACATGGTGGATAAAATGGTCTATCAAATTTTCCTTCAAACTCTCCTTTCCTTAAATAAGCTGGTATCTAAAGATTTATAGGAATCTTTTCTGTTCTGCCTGTAAGAGGCAAAAAAAAAAACAAAAAACACTTTCTTCTAAAACTCCAGATACATGATTCTACCACTCAGGAGAATGTTGTTGTTGGCTACTGAGTCAATTCCAACTCACAGTAACCCTACAGGACAGAGTAGAACTGCCCCATAGGGATTCCTAAGCTGTAATCTTTACGAGAACAGATCGCCAGGTCTTTTCTCCTATAAAGCTGCTAGTGGGTTTGAACAACCAATCTTTTGGTTACCAGCCAAGTGCTTAACCACTGCACCAACAGGGCTCCTTCTCATAGGAATAAGTGTACAAAAATACTGTATATTAAAAATGAAACAAAAGATGGGAGGGTGGAGCAGGATAGCGAAGTGAGGGGATGCTCCCACTTACTCCCCAGCAACTGACCCACCGAACAGTGAATCAAACAAGCACAGACTGAGATGTCAGCGCTCCGGGCAGCAGCTGAGGCACTGGAGAGTTGGGGTGTGTCCAGAAGCAGTGGGAGGAGGGGGGAGGAGGAGCGAGGACAGCACAGAAGCTGGGAGAACCCACCTGTATCATCGGGAGCACTTGCTCAACACCATCATTTTGAGATGGGGCTGGGCAATACCCCAAACGGGGAACACAGAAAGGGAGCTAACCTGAGGAAGCTGTAGCCCGATTTTTAAGGTGGTGCAAATTGGCCAGAGGAATTCGTGGGCCGCGCAACTGAGAGGAGGCGAAGGGAGGCTATTGGGCTGCCAGAGAGTGCTGTTGAATCTTGCTGAGGCCCAAGACGGACGGGCACTAGGACCGGGACGGGCGGCAAGGGCAGCAGAGTGAGGGGAATACTTCCACGGTTCCCTGCCCACAGCAGGACACTATGGGAGAGCCTGTGCAGGGGTGCCCATGAAGGAAAGACATAGAGAGCCCCTTACTTCTGCCATAGGAAAGTCAAGCCCCACTGCTTATGTCTGTGTCTGTAACCAGCTAAACCCCCTGCCACGTGAATGTGTACTGAATTCCAGAAATCAGGCATCCAAAACTCCAGAATCAGAACTGAAAAAAATCTAAGGCTAAGAGTGCCCTCCAGTGGTTTTCAGGAGAAGATAACAAGCCCAGTGCCACTGGACAGATTCTGACTGATAGGGACCCTGTGGGGTACAGTGGAGGTGCTCCATGAGGTTCCCAGGTCTGTGAGCCTTTGTGGAGGCAGAGCAGTTGGTGGGTGAGGGTCCTAGCCTTTTGGATGGCAGCTGGGTGCCTGGCTGCTGTGCCACTGGGGCACTCAATCAGAAATTTTTGCCACAGAATTAAGAATACAAAATTGAAAGTAAAAAGATAACAAAATGGTTCAAGTTCAACACAAAATAGTAAAACACACAAAACAGCAAGAGAAGAAGCACCAATCTAAGGCAAAAAAGAAGAAGGGGAAATTTCTCCTATGGAGGTCAGACTAAGGGAAAGAATCAATAATTTTCAGACTATGGTGTTAAATATGTTTTAAGAAAGCAAAAAGCACACAGAAAACTAGCAAAGACCAGGAAACAAATGGAGAAACAAAATGAGAGACTCAACAAGGAAATTTAAAACATCAAAAAAAAAAAAAAAAAAAAAAAAAAAAATAGAAGAAAGCAACTGAATTACATAAAAGCAAGAGAAACACTCAACAACAGTCAAACAAGCCAAAGATAGAACATGTGAATTACAACACAAAATAACTGAAAAGTCTCGAGAAAAACAAGAGAAAAGAACAAAGAAAATCAAACAAACCCAAAAGGAAATATGGGGTTAATCAAGACACCTAACAGCAGAATTACTGGAATTGCAGAGCACAGTGACAACAATAAAGGCAGAGGAACAATTTTCCAAGAGAAATCAGAGAGAATTTTCCAGACCTGAACAGAGAACTAAGCCTGCAAGTACAGTAAGCTACACGAACCCCAATCAGAAGAGACAAAGAAGATCAACTCTACACCATATCCTAATAAAATTCTTGAAAATCAAAGACAAGGAGAAAATTCTGAAGGCAGCAAAGGAAAAATGCAATATAACACAGCAATGGTCTTTCATAAGAATCAGGACAGATTTCTCCCCAGAAACTCTAGAGGCCAGAAGACAACAAAGTGACATACACAAAGTACTGAACAAAAACAACTGCCAACCAACAATTCTTTACCCAGCTAGTGAAGTTGTCATTCAAAAATGAGGGGGAAATCAAGACATTCCCAGACAACAGAAGCACTGGGAATTTTCCATTATCAAGCCAGCTTTGTAAATATAACTCAAGGGAGTACTCCAAAGGGAAAGGCAAGAGAATTAATACTCATATCTATACACAGGAAAATAAATAAATAAAAAATGAGAGAGCGCGCTCCAAAAAACACAACAACATGGGCAATCACTAGGACCAAGTATACGATATTTTCAGGGAATAAACTCAATAACTAAATCTCGCAAAAATACAACATCAAGTTTGTAAGAAATAAGCACAAAGCAAACTTACTGAAAATAGGTTGTATACTGATGTTAATGGAGACACACCAACAGACACGGGGGAGGAAGGAGCATGTCAGGAACAGATTTAGTATGTTAAGATTGTATGTTAACTGTTGTTCATATGTTAAACATTACTGCAATTGTAATTTGTGTAACATAATTATGTGGTAACCACTATATCACCAAGAAAAAACATTCAGAAGAAAAGAAGAAAGCAAAAAGGCTCATCACAAGAAAGCAGTTAAATACAAACAAAAACAGAAAAATCGGAATTAAAAAAACAAAGAAGATACAAAACACTCAACAAATAGTAAAGTGAGTGAGGTAGACACCGTCTTCAGTAATAACCTTAAATGTAAATGATCTAGACGCTCCATGCAAAAGGCAGAGACTGGCAGAATGAATAAAAACATGATCCATCCTTCTGTTCTCTACAAGAAACACACCTCAGACGTAAAGACACAAACTGAGAACAAAAGGATGGAGAAAAATATTCCATGCAACCCATGAAAAAAAGGGCAGGAGCGGCCATACTGATACCAGATAAAATAGGCTTTAAATCAAAATCTATTACAAGCAATAAAGATGGACATCACATAACAATAACGGGGTCAATCCGACTCGTAGCAACCATGTAGAACACAGCAGAACTGCCCAAAGGGTTTCCAACGAATGGCTGGTGGTTTCAAACTGCCAACTTTTTGGTTAGCAGCTGAGTTCCTAACCACTGCACCACCAGCGCTCCAGAAGTACCTACAGGTACATGTAAACACAAATATGTGGGTGTAGGTACACATAAGCCATTAAAGATACAAATACGGATACTCCACAGACAGAACCAAACACCTTCCAAAATTGGTTTTTTGGGTTTGAAAGCTTAGCACCATAGTCTTACGGGACGACTCAGTCAACTGGCACAACATAGTTCACAAAAATCATGATCTGCATCCTAGTGAAACGAGTAGCATCTGGGGTTTTAAAAAAGCTTGCAAGCGGCCATCTAAGACACAACTACGGGTCTCTACTTGGCAGGAGAAAACAGCAAGAAGGTAACCGAAAGCTCAGAAAAGAAACAAGTCTACACGAGCCATGACCTCATCAACCCTGAGACCAGAAGAACTAGATGGTGCCTCGCTACCACCACTGACCAACTCTGATCAGGGTCACAACAGTTGGTCCTGGTAGAACGGGAGAAAAATGTGGAGCAGAACTCGAATTCTTACCTAAAAAAAAAAAAAAAAGCCAGAAAAACTGAAGAGAGGACTCCCTGAGCCTACTGTCCTGAGACACTCTTTAAACCTAGAACCAAGCCTATCCTGAGATAACCTTTTAGTGAAACAGCAGAGTGGCACACAAAATAAAGGGCATTACCCATAAGACTGGTGCTCTACTTAAAAACTAGCATGAAACCAAAAGGTCAACAATTACTCAAAAGCAAAGACGAGAAGATAAGGGGGCGGGGAAACTGGAGTACTGGGAATGGGAACGACCAGAACACGAAGACAATGTCTGACACTGTGATAAATGTCACTAATGTCACTGAACGATTTCTGCAGAAACTGTCAAACGGCAACTTAACTTGCTGCGTAAACTTTCACAAAAACTCAATTAAAAAAAAGAAACAAAAATATGCAATCTGTCAAAGCAAATCATTTTCTCTACCATTAAAAAGGATATTTGTATTTCTTATGCCACCACCCCACCAGTGTGGGAAAACACTTTCCTGTGTTTTCACTGGTAGTTGATGGTGAAAAATCAGCAGAGCTGCGAAGCAGTGAGTAAAGAGCCAAGACGGTGGAGCCAGCCTCCCTGGGTTCAAGTCCTGACTGCTACTTACAGTGCTGTGACTCTGGGCAAGTTATGTATTTGTGAGCTGATTTCTCATCCTCAAAGTGGAGGGAACCACAGTAACCTACCTCACAGCACTGTGGTGAGGACTAAACAAATGAAGACAAATAGTGATTAGAAGACGTCCTGATACTCCAATGTCACGAGTATCATCAATTTCAGGTAATACATGCTTTAGAAGAAAGAATGAACAAAGTTCCAAGTAACCTAACTAATAAGAATAAAGGAAATGAATTTTAACCAGACTGAGGAACTGGAGGTAGAAAATACATAAAGTAGAAAACTTGGCAAATATTTTCCTGAATAAACTATGATTAAAACATTCAGAAATGTGCTGCAGTAAATTCAAAATGTGAAAGGGAACTCTCCTAACAGACACTTTTTAAACGGCAGCCACACGCTTTGTCATACAAAATTGTTTTGTGGTCTGAAGGCTTCAGACAAGGCCCCATCTTACCTGCCAGCCCGGCCCTTCCTCTGTTTGGCGTTGGCTTTACTGACCCACTCAGCCGACATGGTGCTGATGTTGTTCTGAGTGTCAAAGTGCGTCTCTTTTATTTTCCCTCCATCTATCACATAAACTACGTCATCTATGGTAATGCTGTGGAAAAAATACAATATGAAAAACACTATTACTGAATCAAACTGATGGATGTTAGCAGTTCAAAATTTCCACTCTCCTCCCACCTTTACCAGTGTCTCAGGCGTGAAGGCCCTGCAGGCTGCAGCAGAAGCTGTAGGGGTTAACACTGCCAGTTCCCACCTGCCCGTGGCCAAACGTTACAACTTGCCTAATGGCTCTGCACCTTGCTCCACGGGCCCCCAACTGCTGTGGTTTAATATTAGCTCCCACAACAATCTGGTCCAGGGATTCTACTGGTGTATTAGCACCTCTACAGGAAGACAGGAGCCCTGGTGGTGCAGTGGTTAAGGGCTCGGCTGCTAACCAAAAAGTCAGCAGTTCAAATCCACCAGCTGCTCCTTGGAAACTCTCTGAGGCAGTTCTCCTCTGTCCTGTAAGGTTCTTCTGAGTCAGAATTGACTTGACGGCAGCAGGTTTTTAAGGGAATACAAGAAAGTTTAAAGGCTGTATGAAAAAAATAAATCTGTCACTGTGCAGTTCATTCCGAGTCACAGTGACACTACAGGACAGAGTAGAACTGCCCCACAGGGTTTCCAAAGAATGACTGGTGGATTCGAACTGCTGACCGTTTTTCGTTAGCAGCCAAGCTCTTAACCACTATGCCACCAGGGCTCCTAAAGGCTATATGTAATTACTAAATTTGTGGCAAACAGTATCACCCTCAACCAAAATTAGACAAAGGCACAAAACTGAACTCAGCTCCCTTGCTTCTTTAGGAAAGGTTCGGGAAAACAAACATAAAACCCATGTAATGAAAGGCTGTTTCTGGAGATGGCTAAAGATCGCTAGAGGTTAAGAACACGTAACTATACTCGCTGCCATGACTAACTTAAAAAATAGCTTCGTATGTAAAGAAATTACAAATTTTAGAGAAAAAAGACTAACATATGCTAATAACTTATGGGGGCTCAAAATTTATGTAGTCATAAGCAGTAATATTTACGATTTACCTAGTCTCCGCAATGTTGGTAGCAATCACTATTTTCCGAACACCAGGAGGGGTTTTCTTAAACACCTGTAAAAATAAATACATTAAGACCTCCAAAACACACTTCTGATGCATTATTTCTGAAATTAGAGGAATTACTTCTAAAACTGCTCATTTCTAGCATTCTGTGTTCCTTCATTAACATATGCAACTCATATTAAAGATACAAATAATTATAAATTATACATCATTTTCAATACTACAAAACTCTCTTTTGGTAAACCAAGTCTTCAACAGATAGATAAAACATGATTATTGAAATGTACAGTACATCCTTTAGCAAAAGCTGGGTGGTGGAAATGTCTCATTGTGTAATCAAATTTACAAGCAGAGGGAGAGTACGGCATAACATGAATTATGAGGATCAATCTACATGGTAGGGACAGAAGCCGACCAATCAGGCAGATCCCCAACCCATTCGAACGGATGTCGGCTGGCACACCGTGCCGCGGCATACTAGCTTGAAAGGAGACTGGAGCTAAAAACAAACAAAGCGAAAACCTCTCTCCAAATGCTGAATCCTACAGACAATGCCACCGGCAGAAAGAAGACAGGGAGTCACGTACCGCTGGCTGTCACGCAAAAAAAAATTTATCAACTTAATCCTTCGCTTATAAAATGATCATTAGTAGTGAAAATGCTGTTTCCCAGTCCAGGCGCATATTCTCCAGCAAAGGAATAAACAATTTCTTGTTAGGATGTCAGGGATCAAAGAGCCTCCACAGTGACACTCTTCTGTCCCGTCCTTGGAATCAAGAGTTCTTTCTTTCTACCTTTCCCTTCCCTCAGATACGTACATTGTATCTAGTTCAGCTGGCTGAGCCTTGTTCAGTACTAAGATACCAGTAGAAAGCACAGTAACAGGGTCTCAGTAAAAAATGTCTTGCTATTTTCTTGCAAACAGGTGAGTGGAGAAACTACAGGGGCAGAGGGCAGATTTTCTGGTTCATCTCATCCTAATAGGGCCTGCAAACACAAAACCATGCCTCTGAGAATGCAGTATTCCTACTGATCAGGGAAATCCCTGTATCTGATGGAGCAAAAACATAATACATTATTGATGAAACAGGGAAGCTCATACCTGCAAACATACTAATTCTGTTAAATCAAAATCTCAAACATTAAGCTGTAGAATATCAGACAATCAATTTCTAGGTTGAGTCATCTTTACCAGGACTCGTAGACTGTTTTATTCAGGAAACTCAAACAAGTTATTGGTGACCTCAATTCTTTAAACTTTTTTGTTTAGAACTTATTACTTACTAAATGTCCACGTCCCATTAAAAAGTGATAAAATCGCCCTGGACAAACAATAAAGTACATCCCCTAGCACCGACATCAGGAAAAAGCTTGTCAGCATTAGGGGAAAGTTTAAAGAATTGGTTTCACCAATTAACTTGGAGGCTGTGAGTGGCGACAGCTTAATGTGCTTGACTGCTAACTAAAAGGACGGCAGTTCGAGTCCACTCAGAGGTGCCTTAGAAGAAAGTCCTGGTGATCTACTTTAGAAAAATCAGCCACTGAAACTCTACGGAGCACAGTTCTACTCTGACATACGTGGGTCACATGAGTGGAAAGCGACTTGAAAGCAAAAGAACTGGACTGCTGACGTAAGTAACTTGATTTGTATGTCCCCCTGTTAGTGAAGTGTTTCTACAGTCGTCCCCTGAAGGCTCATCTGCAAAGGCTCTCAAGGGGTAGTTAATCTATGGATTACTACTTGAAAATGCTTCTTAAAAAAATGAAGGAAAATAAAAACAGTAAGCAGTCTTTGAAGCCTGGCTCGGTTTGAAAGACAGAAATTGAATAAATTTACAACGTACCTGTGTCTGGTTAACTGTAGGCATCAGCGAATGTAAAGGTATAATAAGAAACTTATCTGAAAATTAGAAAGAAAAATTAAGCTTTAAGATAAATAGTTGCAGAAAAGCTTCAGTAGACATTTACTGGACAAAGAACTCAGATGCCAAGCCACATAATTCTCAATTCACATTTGTACACGTATCACACAAATTTTTACTTCAATAGTCTTGTTTTCTAAATGTTCCAGCAAGTTCCAGTTGACATTTTGTTAATCTATATCATATTGATAAGTATTTTCTCCAATTTCTCAAAGAATGCTCAAAAGCTGGAAGCAAAACTTTCTAATTATACAAGTAAAACATCACTAACTCCATCCCTACTACTAATTGAAGACCCAAGAATTTTGCTTAGTATGAATGTTTGTCCACTTAAAGTGAATCTATTTTAATCAGAGACAATATCTGAATTTTTAGAACATACTATTTATTAAATACCCCCGTCCTACTGAAAAAGTAATAAAATAAACCTGGTTAAATAATAAAACAAACCTCCTCAAAAGAGACCAACATTTTTAAAACATAGTTTTCTTGAAAATATAATATAGTCCTACTTTATAGCCTTTCAAAAGGCAATAGCTCCAGCTCATTCGTGATTATTAGCCAACAGAGAAAGACTCTGGCTGTAGTACAGTAAGGGAAGTGAAGGCATGTTAAGGAAGCAAGGGCAAACGTCACGTTTACCTATGGCTGCTAAAATGCAATCTGACTTAATCTCTAGGAACAGTGTCTCAAACGACTCAAGACGGCTATATTTCCCCAGAAACTGTTGTTATCCAAAAGAGGTAAGATACTCCCCACAGACTATCCATCATTATTCTCAGCTCTAGAAAGTAGTGAAAAGCAATAAAAAGCTGTCAAGCAATTGATGCTGCCAAAATAAGAATGTTCTGATTTACCTGTCGCTGCAACACAAAATGAAATGTATCAACTATAAAAACACTCGGGCCAAATATACTGAACTTGAACTGAATCAAGCCTTCATATATAATTTCCAGCTTACAGGAAACACAGGGAGGAGAATCAAATGAAATGATACCGTCAAGATTCAGACAAATTCAGAGTGCCGCACTTCTTACAGGACAATACCAATAAAAAACCAAACCGACTGCCATTGAGTTGATTCCCACTCATAGCGAGCATAGAGCAACCCTGGAAGACAGAGTAGAACTGCCCCATAGGGTTGCCAAGGCTGTAATCCAACCGTCACATCTTTCCCCCACGGAGTGGCTGGTGGGTTCGAACCTCAGACCTTTCAGTTAGCAGCTGAGCACTTAATCACTGCAGTGCACCACCAGGGCTCCTTTTAGAAGACAATTGGCCTGGTCTTTTCCATAGTCATTATTACCATGGGGAAAAGGGGGAGGGGGGGTACGGGGGGCAGGGTGATGTCCTAGAAGTAAATTTAAAAATCATCAGGTTTGATTTTTTCTAGTTTGAACAAACCAGCTATGAAAGACATTTTGGGGACCGATAGGGAAATCTGATTATAGACTGAGTTATTGGATGATATTAAGGATTTGATGTCATAATGTCATTATGGTTATGTAGGAAATTGTATTTTTAGAGATGAACACTTAGAGATAAAATGTGATAGCTGCAATTTACTTTAAAAAGGAAAAAAAAAGACTGCAAAAATAATTGCTTTTTTAAAGTCGTAGGTATCATACGATTCTTTAGTTTTCTGTATATTTTAAAATTCTCATTACAAAAAATTTAAAAAAAATTATAGCCATGAATAATGAAATTGAAAACAAATGGGACAAAAACAATTTATATTGCTGATACGGTACAACTAAGGGAGTCCATGGGAAGAAAGTGGACACTCTTTAAGAGAAGAAAGAAATAAGAAAGTTGATAAGCTTTTACATAAATCGAGTTTCAAGATTTACTTTTTGGTCAATTTATCCCCATTCTACACACAGTGGCTAAGGCACAGCACGGTAACTGACTGTTAAGGCTGAATTTTTTCCAACATAATTTGTTTATTCAAGAAAAAACATCGCTCAACTTCAGAATGCATTCCTTGAAAAGGAATTGGTATCTCCTTCCTGGAGAGCGGAAACTATGGCGGTGCAGTGATTAAGAGCTATGACTGCTAACCAAAAGACTGGCAGTTCGAATCCACCAGCCGCTCCTTGGAAACAGTATGGGGCGGTTCTACTCCGTCCTATAGGGTCGCTATGGGTCGGAATCAACTCGACAGTAATGGGTTTGGTTTTGGTTTTCCTTGAGAGTCATTCAACGTAGAAAGTTAATGAAGTCAATTATGACAATCTATAATTTCACACCCTCTACCCATTCCTCCAGAAATGATCACTGTTATATTTTGGTACACATCTTCCTATATTTTTCTTTTTAACTAAATATGATCTTTTTTTTTTAAACTAAAAGTAGATAATTCAATTACATATTTAATAATGATTATACTTTTTCTAACAGGAGCCCTGGTGGTGCAGTGGTTAAGCACTTGCTGCTAATCGAAAGGTCAGCAGTTTGAACCCAACTGCTGCTCTGAAGGAGAAAGACGTGGCAGTCTGCTTCTGTAAAGATTACAGCCTTGCAAACCCTAACGGGCAGTTCTACTCTATCCTATAGGGTTGCTATGAGTCGGAATCAACTCAACGGTGTGGGTTTTGGTTATTATTTTTTCTATAAACACTATCACTGACAAGGAAAAGACAGTATTTCTTTATACAGAAATCAAAATATTTCATCAGCTAGAGAGTAGTAAATAATTTTAATTATAGACAATGCTTTGAGAGTTTTACCATACTGTGATTCAGCAAAGAATGAAAATACATCATTGCTATTTTAATGCATACTATGAGAACAAAGTATTTTTATAATGTCTTATAAAAAGAAAAAAATGTTTCAAAAGCACTTCAGCAAAGTCTAGAAATTATATTCAGAACGAGAAGATAATAAATAGAATTTGTTCTATACTTTACTGATTTGAAGTTAATAATGGTTACCGAGCATACTGTTACTTTTATAGTAGAAAAGTGCCCTCGTGCATTCTCTAAGTCAGAAGAGTTTATGTCTCTGAAGTGTGCTGTTAAAGAATAAGAACCACCGGAGGAACTATGTTCAAGTCACATTCCTGGATTTGGGGTGAGGATGGGGTCTGGGCATTGGAATTTTAAAAAAGCTCCATGGGGGACTCTGTTGTATAGTCTGAGAAGAGAAACACCAGGCTAAGTGATAAATTAAAGCTTTTCTTCCCAACAAAACCCAGCAGTGAGTGAAGAAAACAACAAAAAACCTCCAAATGCCAACATCTTAACTTTAAGGGCTCCATTTTACTAGGCAAATTTAGGAGGAGAGGTAAAACACTGTCTTCATAACACTGAATAAAGAGCTTCACTACGTGCCCATCACCTTCACCCACGACCGAGAACTCTGGAAAAGAAACAGGCGTGACTCTGAAAAACCCAACCCGGGCTCTGACCAGTGAGTTCTTACACTGAGGCACCCTATGCTTCTTCAAATGAAAGAATACACCCCATTACATACCACTCTTGGAGCTGCAAAAGACATACATTTACATAATACCTGACTGAAACATCACTTGTGACATCAAGAGATCGTGTAAACTGCTGATATTGTCCCAGCCTGGCAGAAACACCAGTATTGCACCATCCTGTATGAAGGAGAAAGAACCATTACAAAGGATCACAGCAACAAAATGCAAACGATAAAATTTTGTGCACACCGACGACTTCGTTAAAATTACACAAGTTGAGGATAATTTTAGTTGCTGGTTATAACTAAAAGAATACAAGTGCACGTTCAAAAAATAAGGATTTATTATCTGGATGTTTCATTTGTTTAGCGTTCTCTTCAAATAAGTCAAATGCCTAAATCTTTTTGTATTTTGAGATTCTTATTTCTGGTGCCAAAAGCAATTTCTTTCATAGTCTGTTTTTTTAGAAGCATTTAAGAAAATTCTTTTTCTTTTTTCATGGCCTTGATACATTAATAAAATTGTTACTCAAAGAAAAATAAAAAATGAACAAAACTAACCTCTTCTTCCAAAACAATGTATCGGATAAGGGCAGCAATCAAGTTCAGATCAACTTTATCATCATCCATCATTTGTAAAACATTTACAGTCCTTGCAGAATACCTATCAGAGTTGAACAGACATAACAAAACACGTGGAAAAGATTATGTTGTCTACTATGATAAAGTTTCTTGTGATTTAAATTGCTATAAAATCTTAATACTTAACTCCACCTGCAACTGGGGGAACATACTCTGGAGAGAGGAGAATCACTGGGTCATAGCGTTTGAAAGTCAAACAGCACCGTTTAGCTGGAGTACCAGATGTGCAGTGCTCCAGCTTAATATGCACAAAGACAATCCCTGCTTTGGGTTAGTGGTTCAGCCACTGGGTTCTCACTTTCAAACACACTACACTTACCTTCTTCGCAGTTCCCTTACGTAACCTGCCCAGCGTTCTTCATAGATGGCTTCTTTGGCTTCTTTTTCCTGTCTATTTACGTGCCCTTGCATGAAACCCCTCTTAAACGGGGATCTGTATTCTTTTTGTTCTGGAACATATCTAAAATAAAAACATTCTTAAATATCTTCTTCTTGAAACTCTTTTTGGTTTTAGCTAATATCTGACACTACATTAAGGATTAAAAAAAAGGATTTAAAGATAATTTTTCACTATAATTTCTAGGAGATGCTTATTAAAATATCGATTTATTTGCAAGCATTAATTTGTATATAAATATCTGACATTTAAGATAAAATCATTCTTCTCCATCACAGTACATAGACCTCTAGACCATTTTTAGCAGTCAAATTAGAAAAAAGTAACTTTCATCTTCAATTTTAACTTTGCTTTAAAACACAAGTTAACATTAATTATAAGCCTGATACAACAGTAAAGACTGCCTAGTAGAAAGACTGATTTTAAATATGGGAGGTTCCCAAACCTGACTGCACGTAAGAATCCCCTGGGGAGCTTGTAAACACACAGTTTCCTAAATCCCGCCCCTTGTGATTTGGATTGAGTAGGTATGCCGGGGCCTGCTAATCCGGGAATTTTAATTAGTGCCCCAGAAGAGTCAGAGAGTGCAACCGTAGACCTACGGACCCAGGTCTGGGAGCTATTTAACTCGGCTCGGCACCCAGGTACGGCAGACTGGCCACCAGCACGCACGTCCCCCGTGCGTCAGCCCAGTGCTACACCACGCCTCCACCATGCTGTAGGGACTGCTCAAACACAGAGCACACGTCTGCGCAAGGATGCCACCTGCCCCGTGGGTTCTGAGAAGCCCAAGGGTGGGGAGACAGAGGAGAAGGCAGCTAACCCAACGTCTCCCCGAGTTCAGCTGGAGCACAGCCTAGAGGGCACTGTGGGGTTTGGAGGGTGGGCTGTGGGCTTAGACAGAACTGAGCTGATGTCCTTGCTACTGACTGTGGGACCTTGGACAAGTACTAAACCTCTGGCCTTTGGTTTCCTTACTTGAGAAATTGATACTCTTACAACAGTGTTATTACAAGGATAACAATGTGATATAAAGTATAGGGCCTGGCACACAGGAGACACCCATAAAGTGTTAATCCCCCTCCCTATTCAGTACCTGTGACCCAGGACTCCCCTAAGTCTTCGAAACATATAGAGGCACCAACTTGAAGTCGGGTAACCTGAGACAGAGATTGGTCCTGGTCAGCAGGATGGACCCACAGTTGGCTGCCTTCCCAGCAATCCCCCAAAACAGAGGGAATCTTCAGTCCCCACTCCCAGCCTCCAATCGCCACCCTCCATATCATTCCATCCTGCCCTCGCTCTGGCCATGGTGCTTCTGCCCTCCCACTTCCTGGGGGCGCAGCTCTTCTGAGAAGAGCACAGCTGGGGGCTTCGGATGAAAACCTCTTCTCAAGGACCAACCTCCCTCCTCTGAGTCCCGTCTTAGGGCTGGTTAGGGGACTGCAAGTGCACAGACACCAACCCTTTCCTCCCAGAGACCCTTAGCTGCAGTTCCTCGCACAGCCCCTGCCTTCTAGGGAGGTAAAGAAAGCAACTGATCCCCTAGAGGGTTCCCAAGGAGCGGCTGGTGGACTCAAACTGCCGACCTTTTGGTTAGCAGCCAAGCTGTTAACCACTGCGCCACCAGGGCTCCGATCATTATTTAACTTTAGACTTATGATCCCCAAAGCTGCTTTCATTACTGTCAAGCTGTTGACTATTATTCTCTTAGAAAACTGGTAAATGCGCCATGCTAGAAAGCAGGACCCATGATAGAAAATGAAGTGGAAGAGCAAGTGCACAGGAAATTTACAGCCACTGGTGGTTAAACTAGGGCATGCTCTCTCACGTTAGCATGCACGATCCTGACAGGTATGTCCCTCCTTCCTCCTCTGAGTTTCACCCTCTTGACTTGCTCAGTTTGTCCCCGCTATAGAGTCTCATTGCCAATACACTCTACTTCCCCAGCACAGGCCGGTCACACTTTATACAACAGCCTGTATGTCTCCCTGTCTAGATATAAGCTCTGAGGGCATGTGCCAAGTCTTTCCTGTCTTATCCTCAGTTCCTAGCACAGTGCAAGATACGAAGTAAAGCTTAAAAAATATCTGTGGGTAGGTAGGTGGGAGGGTAGCAGGGTGGGAGGGAGGGAGGGAGACAGGTTGGCCGGCTGGTCAAAATGGGGCTGACTGTTCCCCAGGTAAGCCAGGTTGTAGGTAACTCTGCTCTCAACTTCCTACTATCACTTCCTGGTTTTCTCATTTAACAAGGGAGCTGTTGGGTCTTGAAACTTCTCATCACAAGTGTTTCTACATCTCTCCAATTTATTCAGATGTTTACTGCAGGCCTGGTACTGTGCTAGACAACAGTTACAAAAATGAACAAGACAAAATCCTTGACCTTGAAAAGTCTGAAGTCTACTGCAAGTGGCAAATATACAGAGATACACTAGATGGCATTAGGTGTTCTCAGATACGCCACAGGAGCCCAGGTAAGAGAGCAATTCACTCTGTCGGAGGGATCACAGAGGGCTTCGCAGAGAGGGAAGCCGGGATTTGTTCTTACAGAATCAATAGTTTACAGACAAAAGGATAGAGCAGACGGCAAATGGAAGTCTAAAAAGTGGAAACAGTATGTAAAACAAGGCACAGCCATGAACGAAGAGGCATGGCCTGTCATATTACAGAAGACTGCACATTTAGCATGGCAGGCCATAGGATGTACGACTGGGAGATGAGGCTACAGAAAAATGGGGCCAGACCATAAAGGGCTTTGGGATGACTAGTTAAAAAAACTGGACCTGATCCTACAGCCTGTGTTATCCCAATCTTTTTTTGCATCAAAGAATACAAATATAATTTTGTACAGCCCCCTGGAGAAGGCTGCTAGCAGCTAATGGCCAGTGGCCAGAGGGTTGAGGAAATCAATAACTTGTGCATACCAGCTAGCATGCTCTGCTATCAGTAATGTAAAGAGAAATCTCATATGCAAGTCTGGCCTGGAGAGAAAGTGCATATGACCAGGTTTGTTTTTAAGAAAACACATGGCAGTAGTGGGGGAAAAACAGAGGCGAGAGTGAAGACCACAAGGACAACAATGGACCTAAAGGAGAAGTAAAAACAAGAAGGCATGTTATAAGGACCTGAAGGTGAAGAAACAAAAACAAGAAGGCACGTTATCAGGACCTGAAGGTGAAGAAATAAAAACAAGGCATGTTATCAGGACCTGAAGGTGAAGAAATAAAAACAAAAAGGCATGTTCAAGGAGAAAGCTCTGAAGCAAACTCAACAGAAACCCTGTGTGCTGGGGAAGAGTAAGGAAGGACCTGGAGTAACCTGGATCCTCGTAAGCACAGAGAACAGTTGGCACACCCTAACTGCTTGATAAATATTAACTCTTTTCACTTACTGTTTAGAAAACAAGGTAGAGAATAACATCATTAACTAATATGCAGTATACTGGGCAAGAAACAGTGTTTTTTTTTTTTTTGGTGGAAGCATGGTGGGAATTAAATATAAGATAATGATACTGGCTTGAAAAATACTATGTTCAAGACATCTGTGGTACCAGAATGCTGTTGTGTAGAGAGCTGCAGTCCTGAAAGCTGTGAAAACATCGAACGGTGGTCAATGTGCAAACATAAAAGATGGAGAAAAAGGTCATTCAGAACCTTAGAGGGAAATCCTATTTAAAGAGTGGGCAACAGAAGCCAGCAGAGGAGGATGAAAACCAGGTAGAAGGGGAGCCAGGAGAGAGGTGTGAGCACTTAACAAAGAGGTCCCCAAACTTTGTGGCCCGTTAAAATCACCCAGGGATCTTTAACTACTAGTGCCCAGCTATCACCCCCCGGCATTGTAACTTAATTAAATTAAGGCATGGTGTGTGAACTGGGCACCTGGATTTTACAAGGCTCCAGGTTATTTTAATATGCACTAATGTTTAGGAACCCTTGATTTAAGGAAAAAAGACATTTTAGGTTTTAGAAGTGGTCGTGGCGAGGTCCTGAGACTAAAGCTTGGCATGAGAAAGATGATTTATTCGTACCTTTTATTTTATTTCCAATATTACTTACCTTATCTTTTCAATTATATCTTCCAAAAGATACTCCACAACCGGAAAAGTAAAACCAGGTATATGTATGATTGGACAGTCACCTGTTATGGTAGAAAAATAAACATAAAACCGTCCTCAAATGCTGGGGAAAACGCCACACTGTAAACAGGACCTGACCAAGACAGGGACTTTCCATCATCACTCGGAACTTCAGGGAATGCTCCTGTGACTTGTACAGTTCTACCCCGTTTTTCCAAATCTAATTTAAATAAAAACAGCAGTCCAGTCTTTTTAAAAGTTTTATACGATCCTAGAAAATGTCGTTTTATAAAGAAACTCAGCCCTTAGAAATTCAACAATTTCCCTTGAATTATAAACTAGAAGCCAAAAAAAAAAAAAAAAAAAAAAAAAAAAGTTCACACAAGGCCTCAACTCAAAAGTTTAAGGATCGATTAAGTTAGACACTTAAAACCCATTAGTTAGAAGTCTATTTTCTATTTGTTATTAGCCGAAATGGTGCCACATCAGAACCTAAATGTTACTGAAATCTAGGTAAGAAGCATTACTTCTTGTGGCACCAGAATTAAGGAAGAAAAGCAGTTAAAGAAACCTAACTAAATATTAAATTGTTACTTACTATTATAGATTGAATTGTGTCCCCCAAAATACGTTTTGTAATTCTTAACCTCTATGCCTGTGGTTACAATCCCATTTGGGAATGGGATGTCTTTGCTATGTTAATGAAGCAGGGTTGGCATAGGGTGTGTCTTGACTCAATCTTTTTTTGAGATATAAAAGAGATTAAACAAGCCAGGGAGAGAAGCAGAGATGGGGGAAGAGAGATGCCAAGCCACATGAAGGTCGCCCAGGAGCAGAAATTCCAAGAGACGAGGACCTTCCTCCAGGGCTAAGAGAGACAGAAAGCCTTCCCCCTCCTACAGCCGGTGCCCTGAATTTTGACTTCTAACCTCCTAAACTGTGAGAAAATAAATTTCTCTTTGTTAAAGCCACCCATTTATGGTATTTCTGTTATAACAGCACTGGGAGAAAAAAACCAAACCCACTCCAGTCGAGTCAATTCTGACTCATAGGGACCCTAAAGGACAGAGTAGAACTGCCCGATAGGGCTTCCAAAGAGCACCTGGTGGACTTGAACTGCCAACCTTTTGGTTAGCAGCCATAGCACTTAACCACTTTGCCACCAGGGTTTCCTGGTTTGCAGCACTAGATAACTAAAATGCTTAGTTGCAGAAGCACTAAAAAAAATCTTTAGTACTATTACATAAACACTATTTACTTCTCATAACAAGCACAAGCAGTACACACTATAAACAAAGCCAACACTGCATCAGAGGTCAAAATAGCCAAGCTAGTTATCACAGCTCTGCCTTTCATAAATTTACGTTCATATCTTAATTCACTGTCTTATTTAAAAAACAAGGACATAACACCTGTCCTAACTTATCTTGCAAGGTGCTGAAAATTAGCTGGGATGCGTTTAAAGGGCCTTTAGAAGCTAAACACACGCACGCTGACTGCCACAGCTTTATTACACTTTACCTCCCTCTCTCTCCTCTTCCCTTCCCAAATACAAGCAGGACAGACAGAGTGGCGTTATTTTAAAAGCACGTACCTTACAGCTAGATAAACCTAAGTTCAAATCCTCTCATCTTTCTGTTAAGTATCCAACCTGGGAGAAGCTCCTTAACTGCCCTTGGGCGTTTTCTCATTTCTAAAAACGGGAATAAAAACAGTACCTACCTCACAAGGTTCTTACAAGGGTTAAAGAAAACAAAGTGCCAAACATATTACCTGGCACACTGTAGGTGCTCCATGAGCATTCTTACTATTATTAGCAAACTGTCACACTAGCATGTGATGATAGCATGTAAAAGCCACAGAAGAATCACAAAACACGTCTCTAATACTACAGAAGAATCACAACAAGTGTCTAAAACCGTCTAAACTTGTGGTTTGGATTCAACGATGCCGTCTTAATTTTCTGGTAGCAGCACTAACAAGTTACACATCTTTACTAAAAAAGAGCAGTGATGATGCCACATCTATAAGTTAGGGTAATATTAAAATAAAATGAATGATGAAGCATTTATTTTGACTACTCTATACGAAGCACCGTAGTAGGTACTATGGTAACTGAATACAAACGAGCGTAAACGTTAAGATCCCTCCTACAAAGGACAAAGGCATAAATCCAGAGGAAATTCTACTGCCAAACTTAGCCCTTGACAGGACTGGCAAATAGAGGATTGTCTCCAAGAAGGGCCCCAATGTCCTTTTTAAGATCTAAAGATTACACATGCTAATTTATTTGCTCATAGTTTTAAAGCAGTTTAATTCTAAATAAAATTGAAATACATCCAGAAACTGTTCAAGTAATGAATGGGTTTTGAGTTTGTACCAAAAAAAAAAGTTACTGATTCACTATATGAAAAACTATTTTTGATAAAACGGAAACACCTCTATATCACTCCCCATTTCAAATTTATCTCCATCTCTGGCAAGCCAGCTTCCAAAACTTATGTTGACTGTAAACAGAATGCTTAGACATATTAGTTATTTATTACTCTAAATTCAGTGGTTCTGAGATACTTTACTAAAGTAATAATCATAAATTTCACTCACCAAAATATTCTGAAAATTTCTCAGCATTCAGTGTGGCACTCATCAGTACCACCTTCAGGTCAGGTCGAGACGTGAGAAGATCTTTAATAATCGTCATGAAGACATCTGACTGTAGATTTCTCTCGTGGATTTCATCCAGGACGATGTGACTGACACTGGATAAATGCCTACGGCAGAAGCGGGAAGCATGTGACTCGGTACAAAACTTACAAATGAAACCAGGAGAAACTGTCTGTAACAAGTAGTACAATCCAATTTAATAACTACATTTTTTGATAATATTTAACTTAGTTTGCTTAAATGAACGAAACATACTCACGGGTCTGACTGCAGCCACTGAAGGATGATCCCTGTTGTACAGTATAAGATAGAGCCCTGCTTCCTTGGCAGCCGACTGTGAAAAGACATGGATTAACACTTGATTGTCTTTTCTAATAATTTACTAAGTACCACAGAAGTTCCAGTCTTAGAAATTTTTAATAAAAAGCTTCACGCTTATTGTTTGTTATACAAACACCGACCACAGCAGTAGGAAACGTTACATTCCAGTTCGTCACACGTTACTTTAATTGTTATGATGCAATATTAATGATTTACTTTGAAAGGCATAATATTTGCAGCATGGCTGAGTTACTTATGGGGCTAAATTTCTGGTTCAGTGACTGGAAAGAGTGCTCATTTACAAATACAAATGGAATCTTGAGCTGCAGAAAACAAAGAAACAGGATGGCCTGAGACGGGGCAAAGATACAAAAACTCAGCTGGCAAAATAAAGAAATGAAGTCAGCGGGAAGGGTGGGTGGTATGAAAAGGTACAGGACACCAACTCCTTTCAGGGAGAGTAACAGCCTACTATTCTAAATCCAGGAAAAAATTATTGTTCAAATCATTCCATAACGTAAAAGCACATTTAAAGATGGCAATCCAAATCTGAGACTGAGTTAAAAAAGGGGTTTGTGGGTTCTGCAGGCTCCTTGTGCTACACTGCAGTTCCTTTAAATGTCAATTCTAATAGTAAAAACCAGAATAAAAACAGGAAAAATCTCCTTTCTTTTGGATTCCCAGCTTCTAAGTTTCACTAAGTCTACTGGTAAATAAGAAGTGACCATTCTTTACCTCTGGAGACGAATCTGGTATCCAGTACTGTTACCGCCGCCACAAGCCTCTGCCCTTTCTGCAGCCACTCGCTCTGCAACCTTTTCAAATAAAACGGTTACAATGAAAATAGTTTTCCGTTAGGACAAATATCCTGAACATCAGTAAAAATCTGGGTTTTCAGACAAGTTAACACCGCCCCTCCCCAGATCTATATTAAAATCCCAGCCATCTAAATCTGTGTGTGCCTTACAAGGAGCTGCAGGCTACCTGCTTCTCACGCTCCCTTTTCCTCTTGTATGTCCTTCAAGGACAAATTTTCTTTCATCACTAATTTAAAGCATCTTTCTATAGCAGGCCCTGATTAAGTTCTCTCTTTTTATCTTTTCTGAAACAACTGGAAATCCCAGTCTAACTTGTCATAACTATAACTTGAGGGTGAATACGTGCTGTTTTCTTGTTTGTTGCTGGGTAAGGATCAGGGCTTCAAACCAGTTGTTTTCGGTTCTTGTAAGAATAGTCTAAGAATCACCTGGGGATCCTGTTAAACTATAGATTCTGATTCAGTAAATCTGGGGTGGAAATGCAAATTCTCAGCATGTAGTCGAACTGAAAATAACTGGTTTGAAGCCCTGGTAAGGATCAGGGTTGCATAATTCCTAGTTCTTGGTTGTGCTGTGAAAGTTATGGTTGCCAAAAACGAGCTCTGGGCAGATGAAAAATTATTGTAATACTGATCTGTGTACTTGAGAGAAACCAACAGTCATCTCAGAACAGGATAGTGATACATGAGCTAAGAAACAGAAAATGATGTGATTAATTTCAGAGAAATAAATCTCAGAAGTAAAATTTTCCAACCAGGATATCTAGTATACAGAGATTTAGACCATTATTTCACTTTTTACTACATTAAACTACTCAACTTCCAACAGATTTTGGAAAAATACACAAAAGTAAACATAGTTACCATTTCTTCCTATTGTCAATACATATGGTAACTTACTAAGCAAAAATTTTAAGTACAGATTTTTTATATCTAGCTATATAATTGTGTTATGACAAAGTGATTTATTTTTCACTATCTGATCTTATGCAATTTCAAGGAATATGATCTTTCTTAAAAAGGGTGAAGACCGTTATTCTACTTTGTTTACAGTATTTCTTAGAAACCACAGCTTAAAATGTGTACTATATTCCCCGCAAAATAGTGCCGTAATTGGAAATGCAGTTCTTGTACACAGATTCTACATGACTTAGAGATGTAATAAACCAAAGTATTATCATAAAACCAAAGACAATCATGCATCTTCATTATTTAAAATTATGTACAGAATTTTATAACATGGGAAATAAATCCTCTTTACACACTGAGTGTTACAAGAAACCCCAAACCTCTTTAAATAATACACAACATATATTCAACTACATGATATAATCAAAGATAAAAACAAGACGTTATTGGTAACAAACACAAACGTACATAACTGTGTATCTGTGCTTGCCTTCTTCAAACTTAGGACTTATGAAGAATTATTAGATAGCCTAAATCACATCAAAAAGCAAACAAGATGAACTTGAAACAATGTCTTGTTTTTCTTCATGATAAATTTTCTCTTATTGAAAAGCTGCATTAAAAAATCATTGACCATCAGAAACGTAGCTTCCAAAACAAGCAAGGCTAAAACGAAAGCAAGACTGGCTGCACAACGTGAAGGATGTGATCAGTGTCACCCAACTGCACACGCAGAAAACGCTGAACTGGTGTGTGTTCTGCTGTGCATATTGTCAACAACAAAATAAATTACTTAAAAAAATACACGAAACTTTCACCTTTCACTACCATTCAGTGTGCTTATTATGTACTGGTAAACACGATCACTGTGAACTGAAAATAATATTGAACAGCATCTAATGACAGAGATTATTTGTAGCTTGTAATCAATTCTCTAATATTATTTTTCATTCTTTTGGTTTTATACTGAAACTTGCCCGGATTTATTGTTTACTTAAACTCATAAACATTTAAACATCTATTATCTGTCAGACAGAGGTCACTCAATCTTTCCAATTTGTGGTTGTTGTTGGGTGCCGTCGAGTCGATTCTGACTCATAGCAACCCTGTATGACAGAGTAGATCTGCCCCATAGGGTCTTCTTGGCTATAAACTTTATGGAAGCAGATCACCAGGTCTTTTTCCCATGGAGCCACTGGGTGGGTTCCAACTGCCAACCTTTTGGTTAGCGGCCAAGTGCTTAACCACTGTACCACCAAGGATCCTTCTTTCAGCCTTTCCTTCCAAATATTTCTCAACTAAATATTTGCTTTCATAGTCACAAATCCTAAGGCTAATTAAGAATTACTCTAAACCTTCAAAACCAGTAAGTTACAGTGAGACTACCTAAAGGAGAATGAAAGATAAAGGAGGGGGATTTTAAACAGTGACCAACTACTCACTGAGATGGCACTGATCCTTCTTGGCTGAGTACACACGATCCTGCACGCAGATCCTTTTCCTCGTTCGATATAATCATCCAAAATGAACTGAGTGACCTGAGTGGTTTTTCCACAACCAGTTTCACCGCTTATTACTGTCACCTGGTGATTAGCAATCAGATTCACCAACTCCTATTTCAAAAGGGAAAATAAAGTAAAAAACAACGTTGAGTAAGTCTGAAAACATAGTAATCCAAGTTCTACCAAGCTGTAAGATAATAATTTTTAACAAACATATTAATGCTTTTAAAAGTATGATATATACAATGCTGGCAGTTTGGATATCTGGATCTACCAGTTCACGTGATAAGTAGCAACAAGTTAAAAAGAACAGAGCTAGGGTACTGTTAAAGAAAAATAGCCTGACAGGAACAAGAGACTGGTAAGAATTTAGTTCCACGTATAAGAATTCACATTAATTTAAAAGAATGTTGACATCTGGGGTCACTGAGTACAGAGCTAAACCCCCTGATACTTACATAACCATTAAGGACATTACAGATCTATATCACTATTCATAAATATGGCTATACTCTCAGAACAAGTTTCATTCACTGTTTCAGAAAACAAAAAATAGCATAATTTATTTCAAGATTATTTCCTCTAAAAATAATTAAAATAAAGATAAGTTTTTAAATACCTAAATCCAATGGGTAAACTTCAGGCACACGAAAAATCTCCTGTTTGGGGAAGATCTTTCTTAAAAATTCTAGATAAACACTAGTATTTTTAATATTAAAAATATCCACTGTATTAAAACCACTCTACTACTTCAGAGGGGTTTATTTTAATCTATAAAACAATTTAACTTGAAAAGCTACCTTTTAAAAACTCCCCATTCCATTGTAACACGTTTCAGGACAATTTCCACATTTGAACAATGAAACTTAGCTGGTAAATATTTAGAAGTGGAATGTGATTCATTTATTCAACAAACATTTCATGGGTGTCCATAGAATGCCAAGCACTGCTTTTATTCAACAGATACAGAAGTGAACACAACAGACACCATCCTCATGAAACTTACATTGGCCTAGGAGGGGGAGGCACACAGATAATGTCAGATAGTAACAAATGCTATGAAAAATAAAGAAAAATAAAGTAAGATTGGGAGAATAAAGAGGGATGGGTAATGATATTATTCTATATGGGGTGATTCTGTGATGAAGCATAATAAACCAATTAGAACACCACACAGTCCTTCAATGTTTTAAGTTAAAATGTTTGGACTCGAATTAAGTGCAGGGAATTTACCCAAAGTAACCCTTATGTGAGAATTCTATTTTTAAATTCTTAAGATTTCTACTACCGACATAAATATGAGAAAATTTCAGGAAACTGTTTCATGACCATTTTTTCTTTTCATCCTCGAAGAATTCAACAGAACTCGCTTCCAATGATAACCTTCAGGAGGAGGTTCATTAATTTATATTTCTTCTTGATATACAGCTTTGTTTAAGTTTTTTTTTTAAATAGGTATTTTGCAAATCAAATCAAACAGTGTATATATATTTTACCTTTTGCATTCCATATGAAGGCAGCTTTTCCCGGAAATGCTGAAATTGACAAAAGAAACATAATCAAATTATAATCACAGTAATCAGACCACATCATAGGTAAATATGCTACAATCCAAAAGTATTTTTATTATCGCACGGCTTGTGTGAAATATCAACTTAAAAAAGTATAAAAAACAGCTTATCAATCCTTTTTATTTTTGAAACATTAGAAAATTGAATTATTTTACACCCAGCAAGATGGAGACAATTCCTTAAAGTTAACGGCAGTGAAATAAAATCGGATCTATCCTCTAATAGCATTCTTATAATCCCTAAATTACTTCACTGTGTTTTCCTGTCTGTCTCATATATCCATCTCAGATATGATTTCTATATGACATTCTTTCACGTGTCCATCAATTCACCGGTTGCTAACGCATTAGACACTGGAGCAGATTCAACGATGATTCAGGACACTTGGCTTTGAGTGTAAGAGAAAACGCAAAACAAGTATCTGGAGTCAGCAGAGCATCTGGTACTGAACTCCACCTCTGCCATTTAAGAACTGTGATCTTAGTGAAGGCAAACTCTAAGTGTGAATCCCTAAAAAGTTTTATCTATCTCACAGTGTTGCTGCAAAATCTGAATTAAAAAAAAGTAGTGGTTTGACACATACAGGCTAATGAACAAAATTTTGGTGGATTACAACTGAAAATACTAAGAGGGAGTGACTAATTCTTTCCTGCATTCTTTTTATTTACGTGACTTCTTTTTAATTCTGAAAACTTTTATGGAATCTCATACCCACTACATAAAAATTACAAACAATAAATAGCAGTACTACGGTTTATACTGAACCATGATAACCATGAAGAGCCCTGGTGGTGCAGTGGTTAAGCGCTCGGCTGTTAACCAAAACCAAAAGGTTGGCAGTTTGAACCCACCAGCCTCTCTTCGTGGGAAAGATGTGGCAGTCTGCTCCGGTAAACATGACAGCAGTGGAAACCCTACGGGGCAGTTCACTCTGTCCCGTAGGGTTGCTGAGTCACAATCGACTCCACAGCAAGGGGTATAACCGTACTTTTGATCCCAAAATTAAGATACATCATATACCAAAAGATTTCTTCCAATTTCTAAATTAACATGGTAAATCTTCAGTGGCATAAAAAATAAGCCACAGTCTTAACCAAACCCCCTTACTGAAAAGACAAAGATACGCAAACTCAGAACAGTAGCCGTACTTGTTATGGTAACTATCACTGGTATTCTGAAAACAGAGGCATCAATGTGACAATGTAAATACACTCTAGTGCTTTGAAACAACAAGTCACTACACTTAATAATTTCTTCTACAACCATGTTTAAATTATTTAAAAGCCATTTCTTAATGACATCTAAAAAGATTAGTACCCTTTGCAGTCAAAGGTAACCATGTAATTTAAGTGTATACAAGCGACCCCACTGCAGTTGAAACTGGCATTAACAATATTTATTTTCTTCATATGTAAATAATGCTGAAGAGAGAGATTTTCAATCCAACAGTCTTTCCCAAGACGGACAAACCTTCTACTCTCTAATTTCTGAGATATGAGATGAGATCATAAACTGCCTGAGAACAGAGAATGTCTTATGAGTCTTCAGAAAACATAACAAAATGACTGGGATCTAGTAAGCAGAAAATGAATGTTAAGTTGTAATATCAAGAAAAGATGTGCCACTTTAGCAAGGATTAAGAAGTTGAGCTCTTAAATACACCTGAATTTTAGACCTGGTTCTGTTCCTAGCTGTGCAACCTTGGGTAGGACAACTTAACCTAAGCTTCTGTTCCTCATCTGTAACAGACACAGTAGTGTCTTTTACACAAGGGTGGCTGAAGGTTTACATGATGTAGTATGTTTAAAGCATTTACAACAATGCCTACACACAGAAAGACTGCTAATTGTTTTCACGTTTCTTCTCCTAACTGTTCTGAACTGAATCAATCACCCATCATCAATATCTGAGTTCTGTCCTCCATACAAAGCAAACAGACAGTAGCTAACTCTCCTGTTCCTACGTGCTCAAGGAGCTTTTCTCTCAACCAGTATATTCTGAATTAATTCATCTTGAAATCATGCTTGAAATCTCCTACATCCTCAAATCGTACTTTTACTTAATAGGCATCAAAGAGCTACACAGAGTGGCCTCTGGTCAACCTCAGCTCACACGTTCTAATCAGGAAATCCAACCTTCATTAGTGACAGTCAATGGATCTTTTCTTTCCTACAAAAGACCTTATATTATGCCTTTCTCAAAAATTGCAGTACATTATTTGTATATTAAAGATATGGCCCTGAGAATTTCCTCGATATTTCTTCTTTAAAAAAAAAAACAACAGTGAACATCTATCTCTAGGACACTCTGAAAGCATCTAAATTTGTGTTTTAACTGCAACGTACTTTAAAATATCACCTAACCTAGCATGGAAAGAAAGCACTGGAGAATTTCAGTTCTTGTTATAGTTCTATCTTCAAAGTTGGTGAACATAAGTATGTCACCTAACTTTTGGGGCATTTATTATCATTTGTAAAAGGAAGGAGGGAATTAAATGGTCTGGAAGAACCTTTACAATTCACGGAAACCCCACGTACTGCAGAATAGAACTGTGCTCCATAGGGTTTTCATGTTTGTGACCTTTTAGAAGCAGATTGCCAGGTCTTTCCTCCAAGGCATCTCAGGGTGGGCTCAAACAGCCAACCTTTCAGTTAACAATAGCTGAGTGCGCAACCATTTCTGCCACTCAGAGACTAGCCATGAGTTGGAATTGACTTATCAGCAACGAGTCTGACTCAGTAATTACTGCCATCTCACTAAACTGTCCTAGAAAAGTTAAACTCAAGAGTGCCATTTTTTTCATAGGTACCGACATTTCTTCTCGTTACCACAAAACCTGCGGCAAGTGAGGCAGACTGCAGGCTCTGCCTAATTTTCACTGCTTTTCTCTGCTATTCAAAAGAAAAAAAAATTTCATTCCCACATGGAATGTCCTGGTGAGGAGCCTCATGGATCTACACAATGCAACTACCTGTAAGTCTAAATACATTTTTTATCAAGTGTAAGAAGAGAACGAGAAGCAATTTTCCCACATCTTGCTTCCCATTACCTGCATTTCAATATACCGAGGGTCAGTTTTCTTCCGTTGTAAATCTTCCAGTAGTTGTTGGTCTAAGGTTACATCTGGCTCATTTTCTTGCAGGAGGTACTCAGAATCTCGGTCTGTGTATGATTTGTCTCTGCTTCTAAAGGTCCTTTTTTCTTGGTTTATCAATTTCTTTTCCTGGCCCTCAAGTTTCTTCTCTGTGCTTGGTCTGTTCTCAGCAGGGACTTCAGTACCATATCTATTTCGACAAAATAAAAGATAAAAAAGGTCAAACAAAGAGCTACCTCTGGAACAAAACAAATCAACATACTGTTTTAAACATTTCAAAAAAAGAAACCAAAACAAACCAGCATCAAAAGCTTTTATTCTCTTCTCTTACTAGAGCAATTATTTTCTGGGCCTGGTCTAATTCCACAACTTCTTTATTTTCTTCCTGTCATCCTTTCTAAGCTATAAATGTGATGCCACATTACCCAATCCTTGAAAAACCTCTGCTAACTTCCCCCTAAATGAGGTGGTTCCTGCAGCCTTCCTCAACTGCAGTGATGTAACTCCTGCAGGTCCTCCCACAGAAGAGCTGCTGAAATACACAGATGATGGGTAGGAGGAACAACAAATAATAAATCTCATATTCTGACAGACTACTTCTATCCTTTAGCTTTCCCCTGGAAATGAATATACCAGTTCAATGTTTTGATCTTTCACCAAATCTGCTGTATCTATACAAGGAAAAAAAATACTACTTTAAGGCTAAATCTCACTTATTAAAGAGCCTATTTTACTTTCATTATTCTTTTCCAGACAGTACCATGAGAAGAGTGGCCATTCTTTAAAAGAATACATATCCATATGTATTTTTACCCATGATCCTCAGGAGCAAACCAGGATATCTGTGCTTCTGAATCTTTATCATTCTTAGCTTGGACAGAATTCAGCAGCTGCACAATTTGTTCTTCTCGATGTTCATCCATGTGTACTACAGCTCTCTTTTGGGGAAACGAAAAAAAAAAATTATCAACATAAGAAAGTATGTGCAAAATTATTACCTGATAACTAAAAATAAATAAAAGCAAAGTAACATATGATCAACAAAAAATATTTTAAAAACTTAGTTACCCCACACTTGCCCTGTAGTCTAATCCTACGTGCTTGACCTAATTAATGTTAATAGCTTCGTAAATGTCCTTCTAGATCTTTTTCTATAGCACATCTATTGAAATTAGCTCTAATCAACCATCTAAGATACCTCTATTGGTCCATCCCACTCAGGGCAAGGGAGAAGGAAGAAAACCAAAGACACAAGGAAGATATTAGCCCAAAGGGCTAAAGGACCAATTGAACCAGACTCCACCAGCCTGAGACCAGAAGAACTAGATGGTGTCCAGCTACCACCAATGACCACCCTGCCAGGGAACACAGCACAGTCCTGGACAGAGCAGGAGAAAAATGTAGAACAGAATTCAAATTCATGAAAAAAAAAACAAACTTCATGGTCTGACAGAGACTGGAGGAACCCTCGAAACTACGGCCCCCAGACACTCTGTTCAACCCAGAATTGAAACCATTGCCGAAGCCCACTTTTCAGACAAAGATTAGACAGGCTTATGAAATAAACAACAACACATGTGAGGAAAGTCCTTTTTAGTTCAATCAAGTATACGAGACCAAATGGGCAGCACCTGTCCAAAACCAGGATAAGAAGGCAGGAAGGGACAGGAACCGGATGAATGGACACAGGGAATCCCGGGGTGGAAAGGGGGAGCCTGCTGCCCCAATGTGGGGATTACAACCAAAGTCACAAAACAACATGTGTATAAATTTCTGAATGAGAAATTAACTTTAGCTGTTAACTTTCACCTAAAGCACAATAAAAAATAAATAAATAAATCAGCTCCAATTGGCAAAAAAAGCATATTCACTCCCATCTTAAAACTCTGGTTCTCCTACCTCCTACCCTCACACACTGATTATAAAATTTTCTGTCTTAGATTTTTAAAGAGACTCACAGTTAAAAATTACTAAAACCCAACTATTCTGTTAAAAAGAAAAAAAACTAAAGTTGGAAACTGTAAATACTTTGATTGTGATGAGCATTTACACTGAAGATCTTACACTAAAAGGGAGACCTGGGAAGAGAAGGCTGAGCTCAGAGGGAGGAGATAAAAACGACCAGCACTTCATGGAGACGGTGAGCAATGTGGCAAATGGCTCAGCTGATTCAGAGAACGAAAAATAAGGAAATTTAGAAACCTTAAATATATACCTAGGGAACACAGTTACAGGCCGAGGTAAACAAGAATGAATGTCAAAATCAGTATTTTTAAAAGACTTTTGTTTTTAGAAATGGCAAATTTAAAAACAGATTCTTCAGAAATCTATGAGCCTACAAAGTACCTGGGGTTCTTTCAAAGCAGGCTTAATAATGTGCATATCAATCCACAGGCAACTGGGAACACCTGAGGGGTGCTGACAACTAAGACCCTTAGGTAAAGAATTAAGGGGCAGGAGGGCGACAGAATAAATGAGAAGGACGAAAAGTTAGAAATCCTGAGTAAAGAAACCCTAGGATGTGATGGCTACTTGAAGGGGGAGGGGAGGAGAGCAAGAGAACACATCAGGGACAACTGTTCCAATTTCCAGGCTGGGTGCTGAGAGAACAATAGTAACATTACTCATTCGGAGGCTGCTTTGTGACAGTGTGCGTTTTGGGTCTAAGAGTAGCGGCAGAGGTCAAACTCGAATGCTGACTTTGGATTATACACAGCTAAGAACAATGGTGGGATTTCGTGACTAATCATTATTAAAACACAAAAACAAACCCACTGCTGCAGAGTCAAGTCCGACTCATGGCAACCCTACGTGCTAGAGCAGAACTGTTCCATAGGGTTTTCTTGGCTGTAATCTTTATGGAAGCAGATTGCCAGGCCTTTCTTTTGCAGGGCCACTGGGAGGGTTGAACTGTCGTCAGCCTTTCAGTTAGTAGCCAAGTGCAAACTGTGTGCCAAAAACCCACTGCTGTTGAGTCGATTCCAACTCACAGAGACCTTACAGGACAAAGCAGAACTGTCCACAGGGTTTCCAAGGCTGAAAATCTTTACAGAAGCAGACTGCCACATCTTTCTCCCTCGGAGCGGCTGGTGGGTTTGAACCCACAACCTTTTGGCTGGCAGCAGAGCACTTTAACCACTGTGCCACCAGGGCACCTGACTGCTCCACCCAGATGGAAATAAGGAAGTTGATCTCAGGAGATACTGTTTTCAGAGTTGATAACAGAAGTTTTGGAATGTTCTGCAAAGAGGAAGGAGGAGTGAAAATCACAGGGATAAATGAGCTCCCTTAGCTGAAAAAACCACCACCCCCAGAGATGAGGCGTGAACCTAACAAAGTCCTGCCTGTGGGGCCAAAGGCAGGCAACCAAGTCAGAGAAACAATTAAAAAGCAACAATCAGAGCAAGCCCCCACTGCTGTCACGTTGATTCCGACTCACAGCAACCCCACAGGGTTTCCAAGGCTGTAAAATCTCTATGGAAGCAGACTGCCGCATCTTTCTCCCAAGGAGTGGCTGGTGGGTTCAAACCCACGACCTTTAGGCTAGCAGTCGATTGCTTTAACCACTGTGCCACCAGGGCTCCTCAGACAGGAATCAAGAGAATACAAATAAAGAGTAACAAGTCACCCCAGTTAGAAAAAGAATTTTAAAAAAGGAAGTTAAGTCAGGAGCGTAAAATTGCAGCGAGACATAACTAAGGGTGAGTGGGGAGGAAATACTATCGGCTCTAGCAACCAGGTGGTTAGGAATGTCATTCAAGGCTGTTGTTTGAAGAGGGTGGGGAGAAAGCAGGAGCTGGGTAAGAAGACTGAAGAAAGCAACTAGCAGTGGGTAAAATGACCACTAGTTTAAGATCCACCATGAACTACTAAGTCTTCAGAGAAGCAGTTTTCACTTTTCCCCCCAAGCAACCCATAGTGAAAACCTGCTCCATTTTCCTTTCTTTCCTTCACTCCCCAACCCACTGTAATCTGGTTTTTACTTCCTCCAATCCAAAGAAAGGAGTTATTGGGTAGTGCAAACTGTCAAGCGCTCGACTACTAACCAAAAAGTTGGCAGTTTGAACCCACCCAGAGGTGTCTCGGAAGACAGGCCTGGCGATCTGCTTCCTAAAGGTCACAGCCTTGAAAACTCTGTGAAGCAGTTCTACTCTGCACACATGGTTTGCCATGAGCTGAAGTCAACTGGACCACAACAGCAACAAAGATCTACAGAAAGGACTTTCATCAAGGTCACTGATGACCCTGCTGTTGAACTCCAGACATTCTCAGCTCTTATCTTACCTGATATCTGTGCAGCATTTGCCACTACTGATTACTTTTTTATATTTTTCCCCCCTTACACACTACTCCTGGATTCCAAACCAACAACCATCCCCTTATTTTCCTCTTCTCCAGTTGCTCCTTCCTAGATACTTTTGAAACCTCTTCCTCTGTCCCTTAAATTTTTGCGTTCTACATTTTACAGCCTTGCTACTCAGCACTGGCATCACATGAGAACCTGTTAGAAAAGCAGTCTCTGGCTCCTCCTCAGTCTTACATTTTAACAAGATACCAGGTGATTCCTATGCCCATTCAAGTTTGCGAAGCACTGGTCTATGGAATTCAGGCCTGGGCCCACTCCTCTTCTCAATGTTCACTTCTGTACCTCAACTGCCATCCATAGAGCCATGACTACCCAATGTTCACCACCAGTCTAGACTTCTCTAGGTTCAAATCCACAGGACCCTCTATCTCCTGGAAATCCCCACTTGCACACCGTATAACAATGTCAAACTCATAAGCATCCTTAGCTTAGCTCATCATCTTACTCCATCAAACCTGCTCCTTAGTCATAGCTGTCTTAGTCATTAACACTTGCTTTCTCTTCCCCTCCAGATAAAAATCAATCACCAAATCCTTTGAGTCTATCTCCTCAATCACTTTAATCTGTCTACTTCTCTTCATCTCCAATGCCAAAGTCCTAATTGAAGCCATCATTTCTCACCTAACTACAACAGTTGTTGAACTGGACTCCTTCTCCCAAAATTGCCTGTTTTCAAACCATTCCCTATGCTGCTACCAAAGTGAATTTAAATACAAATCTGACCACATCCTTCCTGGCTTAAAATATTTTAATGGGTGTTTGTAGGGAAATGCTCATGAACTTCCAAGGCCCTGATTATTTTTCGAACCGAAGGCTTTGCCAATTGCTGCTTGAATTATATTAGAGGACCATAACTAGAATTTAAACGACACCAGGAAAGTATTAAAAAAATTAAAAAAAAAAACCTCACAGCAGCTTGCACGTAAAACAAAAACCAAACCCACTGAGCGGATTCCGACTTACAGTGACCCTACAGAACAGAGTAGAACTGCCCTACCGAAGGTTGCCAAGCAGCAGTTGGTGGATTCAAGCTGCCGATCTTTTGGTTAGCGGCCAAATGCTTAAACCACTGTGCCACCAGGGTTCCTAATTTGCATGTAGTTACATATTATTTTATGAAACTTTGGTGTCAGGTATACACAGTGTGTATATTCATCTGTCCTAAGGAAATGACTGCAGGAATGAAAAATTGAAGAGACTTCTGCATTTTCACATCTTTGTCATTTCCTATCCTAAACATTCTTCTCCCCTCATCACTGGGCAGCCTGGCAGTACTTAAAAGCATGGAGGCCGAAACCAGGTTGCCAACCTAGGTTTGCTACTAATACTTAACCTTTCTGCAACCTAAGTTTCCTCATCCATAAAACAGAAACATTACTTATGAACTCACAGGTTGTCGTGAGAATTACGAGTTAACAGAACAATGCTTGGCACACGGTAAACTCTATATAAGCACTTGCTATTATTAGCACTATTATGTGTTATCCTACTAAATACCGGCCTCCATCAAGGTCCAGTTCAAGCCCCTCTCATCCATAGTTTTCTTTTCATGTGAATTCACACACAAATGATTACAGCCTGCCAAGTAATGTTCCAGGCACTGTTCTAGGTGCTAGGAATACAAGAGTAAGCAAGACAACCTCCCTGCTCTCTTGGAACACAGTCTCAATGAGGGAGACAGAAAAATAAACAAGGTACACAAATAACATTTCAGCTACCTGATAAATGTAATGAAAAGTACCTCTGGACACCCTTATAGCTCAATAATGAAATCACTCTTGAGGTTCACCCTTCAGCCAAAGATTAGACAGGCCCATAAAACAAAATAAGACTAAATGGGCACACCAGCCCAGGGTCAGGGATGAGAAGGCAGGAGGGGACAGGAAAACTGGTAATGGGGAACCCAAGGTCAAGAAGGGGAAAGCGTTGACATGCTGTGGGGCTGGTAACCAATGTCACAAAACAACCTGCGTATTGTTTAATGAGAAACTACTATGCTCTGTAAACCTTCATCTAAAGAACAACAACAAAATTTTTTTTTAAATGTAATGAAAGGTAAAGAATTAAGAAATGATAATAGTGTGCAATTGAATATTAAAGACAAGGTGGCCAAGCAAAGCCTCTCAAGGAAGTAGCATCTATAGAAGCTGAATGATTTGAAGGAGTGAGATGTACAAAGATTCGAGAGAACAGCATTCCAGGCCGAACAGTAGCAAAAATAAAAACTCTAAGGCAGAAATTTAACTTTGGGGAATTAAAGGAAAAGCAAGGCCAGCACAGCTAGAAACGAGGGAGCAAGGTGAAGAGCGTGGCAGAAGAGGAGCAACGTTCCAGATCACACAAGTTCCTGTAATCCATGACAGTTTGAATTTGCAGCGCTGTGAACTGGGGAAGGAGATGATCTGGCTTTCGCTTTTAAAAGCTCACCATGGGTGGCTCTACAGAGGACAGGCTTAAGGGGGAGAGGTGGAAGCTAGAGGACCAGGTAGGAGGCTGCAGACAGGACAGCGGCGTGATCTACAGCAATTGCTGTGGAGATAAGTGGTTGGACTTGGTATATACTACGAAGGCAGACACAGCACATTTGCTGATGAACTGGGTAGAAGTGAAAGAGAAGAATCAAGGATGAATCCCATTTCGGCCTTGGCAAGTGAATACATAGCAGTAACATCTATTAAGATGGAAGTTTAAGGAATGGGGGTGGAAATCACGAGTTCCATCCATAAAGATCCACTGCACAACCGGCTATTCCCTTCACGTGGAAATAATAAGGAAAAATATTTCCTGACTTATTTAACTTTTCACCTGTTCAGGTCTTATTTTCCCTAGACTGTAAGCTCCGAGTCTCTTATTTCTTCAGATCCTCCTAGCAACATGCACAACACCTTGTTTGAAACATGTAGTAAATAAACTTTGCTAATTTGATGAGAGTTCTTAGAAAGTTGCTGTGTTATAGTTACGATTCAATTATTCTTCCAAGATGACCTGAATGTGCTTCTCCTTTTTTTTTTTTTAAATTTAAACCACTGAACAAGTTAATTATGGGCTGCCAAAGAAATAGCTTTTTTTTTTAAAAAAAAAAAAAAAAAGAAAAACATAAGTTGTGAAGATAAATAGATAAGATCCAAAACACTTCAATGAAAATGACATGAATAAAAGAAAAAGAAATGGAACGGTTTTTAAAAACAGACGCCTATGGAGATGATTTAATTACTGTTATCTATTATTAACAGTGTTTTTAAATAAATAACTTTATTAGAATGGGTCACTCAGGGAACTTTAGTTTTCCTTTACTACAGATTTTCAAAACCGACAAAAAAAATCACCAACCTGAAGACAGAGACTAAGCCAAATGATCTTCTGAAGTTTCTTCCACTTCTAAGATTCTAAGCTTCCTCCTCAAAGAGGAGCTGCTAATCAAGAGAAAACACCCGACCCCAACGTGGACTTGCGGGGGAATTCTAACAATGAAAGCTGGAATGTTTTTCTGAACTACCTACATTCCAAACAGTGCCTGACTACTTCTGTTCACCACAAACCCTTCTCTAACGTAGAAAGTCGCTATTTTTTAGTTCACCAGGCAAAGCGCTTAAAAAAAAAAAAAAAGTACACTAATGATTCCATAGGAAAGGGAAGACACAATGACACCCAGTAACGTTAACTTCGGTTGGAATCTGAACATTTATCTTGTCCGTAGTCCAGTCCTTTACGCAAAGTGTGCCCTCAGCCCTCACAAATCCCGACCGCTCACGTCAGATGCTCAAGGCTAACGTTAAGTGCCAAGGCATTCGCTACCGGAAGCTTTAGAATATTAGATTTACGCTTTATAAAGCACATACATCAGTTAAGAAACAAAACCAAGTTAAGAAATAAAAGGAAAAAGGTAGGGGCGTCAGGAGGGAGAAGACCTCCTGCCTCATCCCTCCCCCACCCCATTATCGAGTCTCTGCTTACCTCCTGCCTCTCTGCCTCCTTGTTCTTCTGCTCCTGCAACCTCGCGTACCACAAGCCGATCTGGCGGCCTTTCAGGTGCCCGGGATGCCGGCCCCGGCCGCCTCGACCACCCCCTCCGCCGCCGCCAAAACCTCGGCTCCCTCCGTAGCCCCCTCCACGACTCCCTCCAAAGCCCCCGCCGGAGTTGCGGGGACAGCCATCGCGGCTCCAGCTCTGATGGTAGTCATAGCTCATTGTCAGGGCAGATTACCACACGTGAGAATCCGCAACCGCTAGAAATGGCGCCCGGGCCCGGAAGCCAGTGCGCATCCACTTCCGTTTTGCTTCCGGCGCCCCGCGCGAGGAGGAGGGCCGTCGAGCGTCACAAGCAGTCGTTTCCGGTGACGTCACGGTGTGTCTGTGACGAATGCCGGGCGGCGGTTCGAGCGGAGTCTGTCTCAGGTGCTCTCGGTTGTTCTTGTTCACGTCTCTGGAGGGACAGCGAGCAAAAGGCTCGCAGGTTGTCTTTCCCTACGCCCTGCAAGTAGCGAATGGGGTTTGAGTTTTGCTTTCTGATTCCTCTTAGTAAAATACAGTTTACTTTCACATAGGCCCTGAGTAGTAAACATGGATTAAAACAAAGAACCTGAGGGTCAGTGCATTGTCTCCTCTAAATCTATAAACAGATAAAATGAGCCCGTCACACCTAATTTTTTTATTTTTTAGTAACTTGTTAGGTGCCATAGAGTCGGTTCTGACTCACAGCGACCCTATGTACAACAGAAAGAAACAGTGCCCGGTCCTTCGCCATCCTCACCATCATTGCTACATCCTGAAAATAGTCTGGCACCTGTTTCGTATATATAATTAAGTTTTAAAATGTTCCTGCCCCTTTTAAAGGATGGTCACGAATCACTAATTTTTTCAATAGCTTAAAATGAGGGTGTCTACTCGACTTCAGTGCAGAATACTTAAACAGCTGAAGACTCCTCTGTTCTATAAAGTAGCCCTGGTGGCGCAGTGGTTAAGAGCTCGGCTGGTCAACAAAAGGTCAGCAGTTCTAATCCACCAGCCCCTCCTTGGAAACCCTATGGGGCAGTTCTACTCCGTCCTATAGGGTCACTATGAGTCAGAATCAACTCGACGGCAGTGGGTTTTTTGTTGGTTTGTTTTGGATGTTCTATAAAACCATATACTGTTTTTTTGACCAGGTGGCTGAGTATCTTGGGCAACCTGTTCTTAAACAATCAAGCGACCTGGCCACACAGACTTGGATGTTCACCAGGAGGCATCTAGTTCCTTTATACATTTAACTGATTTAAAGGTGCTGGGGATACTCACTGAACAAGGCAAGTACAGTATCAGTTTTCATTTGCTTATAGTCTTCAGGGGAAGCTAACAGATACAGAAATTTTTTCAGAGCAGTGAGTTATGAAAGGAAAATATTATGTGTCATGAGATCTTATATGGAAGAATTTGATTTTGGAGTCAAGTAAGCCCTCCCTAAAAAATGAGGGGTTAAACAATGTTTTTTTGAGATAAGGAGACTTTGTTGTTGTTGTTAGCTTCCCATTGAGTGGATTCCATCTCAAAGCAACTCTATGTATAACAGAACGAGTATATCTAGTGAAAGGTTGCCGGGTCCTCTGCCATCCTCACAATACTGTAGTAGGTATGTTTGAGCCCGTTGTTGCAGCCACTGTGTCAGTCCATCTCACTGAGGGTCTTCCTCTTTTACACTAACGCTCTACCTTACCAAGTATGAGTCCTTCTCTAGGGACTGGTCCCTCCTGATAGCATGTCCAAAGTACATGAGACAAAGTCTTGCCATCCTGACTTCTGAGGAGCATTCTGGCTATACTTCCAAGCCAGATTTGTTCATTCTTCTGGAAGTCCATGGTAGACTTTAGCTGGGCTAATGGCGAGGGGAGAGAGTGTTACAGCTGGAACAGTGAGTGTGAGTAGAGATGATGGAGCGTTGGCGAACTGAGAAAGCTACAGTGAAACTTAAAGACTGATGGTGAACTCCAACAGGTAGAAAAGAGGCTGATCATAGAGGACCTTATGTGACGCAAAAAGAAGTCTGGGCTTCCTTCAAAGAACAACAGTACATTTTAAGTAAGGGAGTGATTACTCTGGCTGCTTTGCGGAGAAGAGTATGGAGGAAGCAAGAGTGGATGGAGGGATTCTTGTTAAAAGACTGTGATGTAAAGGAGGCAAGATGGGACGGCAGGACGTTGGAGATGGAAAGGAGTGGAATTAAGAGATACTAGGGGATAAAATTGCCAAGATTTGGTAATTCTTTGCATGTGGAAAATTAGAAGGAAATGTCAGATGACTCCTGGATTTAAGATTTGAATGACTACTGTGTGAGGAGGAACAGTTTTTGGGGGACATTGAGTTAATGTGTTTAATTTTTACATGTAGAGTTTGAGGAGCCTATGAAACATACAAATGGAAATGCCCGGAAGGCAACTGGTTATATGAGTTGAAAGCTCACAGGAAGTGGACTGAAATTATATATTTTGGGATTAAGGCCACAGGAATGAGTAGTTCCTAGAAATGCACCCATTGGGCACACTTGATACGACAAATACACGCTTTGTTCAGTAGGTGAGATTGGGTAGGCATGTTGTGGATTGGGTAGAAGCAAAACTAAAAACCAAACCCATTGCTGTCGAGTCGAATCCACTCATAGCAACCCTACAGGACAGAGTAGAACTGCCCCAGTAGGGTTTCCAAGGAGCGGCTGGTGGATTTGAACTGCCAACCTTTTGTATAGCAGCTGAGCTGTTAACCACTGTCCCACCAGAGCTCCGAAGGGTAGAAGGAAAGTGGTGTCAAGAGGGCCATATTCTTTCTGAAGGCTCTAGGGGAAGATCCTTTCTGGTCTCGGTTTCTGGTAGCCCCCGGCTTGCAGCTGCAGCAGAACTGAGTCATCAACGGCAGTCTTCCCTCTGTCTCTGTTGTTGTTGTTAGGTGCTGTCAAGTCAGCTCTGACTCATAGCGACCCTGTTTACGATAGAACGAAACACTGCCCGGTCCTGTGCCATCCTCATAATCATTGTTATGCTTGAGCCCATTGTTGCAGCCACTGTGTCAAACCATCACGTTGAGGGTCTTCCTCTTTTTCACTGACCTACTTTACCAAGCATGATGTCCTTCTCCAGGGACTGGTCCCTCCTGATAACATATCTCTTTTATAAGGACACCATTTATGTAAGATTGGAAACCCTGGTGGTGTAGTGGTTAAGAGCTATGGCTGCTAACCAAAAGGTGGGCAGCTGGAATCCACCAGGCGCTCCTTGGAAACCCTACTGGGGCAGTTCTACTCTGTCCTGTAGGGTTGCTATGAATCAAAATCAACTCGACAGCAATGGGTTTCATTTTTTTTTTATTTTTGGTTTTATATAAGATTATGGCCCACTTACCGCAGTATGAACTTGTGTTATCTTGATAACATCTCCAAACACCTTATTTCCAAACAAGGTCACATTTACAAGTTTCACAGTTAAGACTTGAACGTGGTAGCTTCTGTATCCCCTCTGTACTACGTAAAAGCTAAGGAAGTTTCTGGAGAACTGGTACAGTTATTATCGCTACCTAGCAAACCACCTGAAAACTCAGTGATGTAAAACACCCATTTTTATTATGTCCATTTATTGTGTGGGTCAAGAATTTGGACAGGACACACCAGCGCTGACTTTTTGCTGTTCCAAGATGTATGGGTTCTCTTCTGAGAAGCCTTGATACCTGGGAGTTGGAATCATTTGGAGGCGTCTTCACTCAAGTGTCTAGCAGTTGATGTGGCTTTTGCTGGCACCTTGGTGGGACTGCGGAATGGGACACCTGTACATGGGTTTTTCCATTAGGTCTCAGTGGTTGGCCGAGCCGGAGCTTCCTCACAGCCTGCCAGAGAGGAAGTGTCACAGAGCCAGGTGAAAGTGCATGACAGTTTTATTAACTAGCCTCGGCAGTCCCATACCATCACATCCACTGTACTGTGTCAGTTGAAACAATTACAGATGTCTACCCAGATGCCGGGGGGAGCACTTAGACCTCAGCACTGCCAGGGCTGCCAGGGCCACGTTAGAAAAAGAGCATGTGGGTGGGAGGCACTGTGGCCGTCTGTGGGTGGGAGGCACTGTGGCCGTCTGTGGATGGGAGGCAGTGTGGCCATCTGCGGGCGGGAGGCACTGTGGCCGTCTGCGGGCGGGAGGCACTGTGGCCGTCTGCGGGCGGGAGGCACTGTGGCCGTCTGCGGGCGGGAGGCACTGTGGCCGTCTGTGGGCGGGAGGCACTGTGGCCGTCTGTGGAAGACATAACCTGTGTAAGTGCGAACTCAGGACTTCTCCAAAGCCACGGTGCACCGCCATTTTGACAGTTTTACTGACTCCTCCTGGTGTATCTCAGACACTCCTGCATCACAGTCTGGTTTTGGAGCTCTCAGCTGGAGATGTGAAAAGCTGAGGTAGGGGTGGGGGTCATGACATACACCTTCTCCTCCCCTGCCACCTCCCCAGCATTCTCCCCTGAGAACAAGGCTTTCTCATTCTACTTCCTATGTGTCAGGGAGTTCCGTGTATTCATACCTTCCTTCCCAAGGCAGACTTCACTCTCCTTCCTTCCGTGGAGCTGTAACTGTGAGATGTCTCCTGGGTAGTATGATTTATGGGTGGAGGATTGAAAATATATCCATTTAACATTTTAAAAATATCTCTGAGACATTGATGAATGAAGTTTCAGTAATTGAAAATGGATGTTTTATGGAGCAAGGAGGCGTGAACAATGCTGCAGATGCGTTTTTCTTCCTTTTTACGACTGCGTTATTTGTCATGAATGGTGTCAGTGATAGTACTATCCTTGTCTTGGGGAGGTTGCTCTTATTTTTTTTGGTCCCTCCATTCCATGAGTTTCTCGGCCTAACTTTAGTAAAATAGAGGTAAAATAGTGTCTACTCATATTGCCTGGCACATAATACCCAAAACTCAAACCTACTGCCATCAAGAAAATTCCGACTCATAACGACCCCGTAGGACAGAGCAGAACTGCCCCAGAGGGTTTCCAAGGCTGTCATCTTTACCAAAGCAGACTGCCACATCTTTGTCCCGCGGAGTCACTGGTGGGTTCGAACGCCAGCCTTTCCTTTAGTAATCGAATGCTTTCACCACTTCACCAGCAGACTCCTTGGCCCAAAGTAAGCACTCAATAAATGTTACTTACAGTGTTATCATCCCTTTTGCTACTTCTGGTTGTGCTATGGTCACCAAATAATTTTGTCATATTTTTTAAGCTTTCTGGAGGCCCCAGAAAGAGACATTATTCCATGGAGGATA